GGCCAGTATCAGTTGGCATCAGTAATATCAGGATCAGCCAATATGATCCAACATCATCAAGTATCAGCCAGTTTCAGCTAGTATCAGCCGATATCAGCCAGGATCAGCCAATTTCAACCCGAATCAGCCAATATCAGCCAGCATCAGCAAGTATCAGCCAGTTTCAGCCAGTCTCAGCCAAGGCCAGTTTCAGCCAGTATCAGCCAGGATCAGCCAGTTTCAGCCAATATCATCCAGGCTCAGCCAAGCTGTTGGCCAGTATCAGCTGGCATCAGTCAGTACAGGATCAGCCAGTTTCATCCAGCAATATCATCCAACATCAGCAAGTTTCGGCCAGTTTCAAGCAACACCTCCACAACACCCACAACACTTCCACAACACTTCCACAACACCTCCACAACACCTCCACAACACTTCCACAACACTTCTACAACAATTCCACAACACCTCCACAACACCTCCACAACACCTCCACAACACTTCCACAACACTTCCACAACACTTCCACAACACCTCCACAACACCTCCACAACACTTCCACAACACTTCCACAACACTTCCACAACACCTCCACAACACCTCCACAACACCTCCACAACACTTCCACAACACTTCCACAACACCTCCACAACACCTCCACAACACCTCCACAACACTTCCACAACACTTCCACAATACCTCCACAGCAATTAGCAGCAGTGCAGTAATTAGTAGTACAGCAATTGACAGTAGTGCAGTATTTGGCAGTAGTGCAGCAATGACCAGTAGTGCAGTACTTGGCAGGAGTGCAGTGATGACGAGTAGTGCAGTAATTGGTCATTTCAAAATTTCGATTCCGGTTGGGAAAGAACCCAAATGACACCGCCGGAGATTGAGCCCGCGACCAAACCCAAACGCCGAACTGAACAGCCGCCCCCAACCTTGTCTAGTCGCCCATAGCTCAGCGAGAAAGCATATGGCTTACAAGCCCTTCTGGAAAAAGGGCGCGGGCTCAAACCCCGGTGGTGTCATTTTTGGACCCTTTGACCTTAATAAGGGCTTAATAAAGCTTTAATAAGGGCTTAATAAGGCTGTAATAAGGGCTTAATAAGCTTCTTATAAGCCTTAAATAAAGCTCTTTTTCTGGCTTTAATAAGGGCTTAATAAGGCTATAATAAGGGCGTAATAAGGCCTTAATAAGAAGCCTCTTATAAGCCTTAAATCAAGCTTTAATATGGCTTTAATAAGGGCTTAATAAGGCTTTAATAAGGGCTTAATAAAGCTTTAATAAGGGCTTAATAAGCCTCTGATAAGCCTTAAATAAGGCTTTAATAAGGGCTTAATAAGGTTTTTATAAGGGTTTAATAAAAAAGCAATATGGCTTTAATAAGGGGTTAATAAAGCTATAATAAGAGCTTAATAAGGCCTTAATAAGCCTCTTATAAGCCTTGTTAAGCCGTATTGAAGCCTTATTACAGCCTTGTTTAAAGCTTTTAAAAAGCTGATTAAGGACTTATTAAGCCCTTATTAAGGCTAATCACAGCCTTATTCAGCCCTTATTAAGGCCATATTGAAGCCTTATTACAGCCTTATTAAGCCCTTTTATTACGGCCTTATCAAACCCTTCTCAAAGCCTTATTAAAGCCTCATTATAGCCTTATCAATACTATTGTAATACGACTGTACCACTACCTTACTGCAACTGTACTATTGTACTACTATTATGCCACAAGTGTACTACTGTACTACTACTGTACTACTACTGTACTACCCTACTACACTACCACTACCACTACGACTGCACTACTACTGTACTACTACTGTACTACTACTGTACTACTACTGTACTACTACTGTACTACTACTGTACTACAACTGTACTACTACTGTACTACTACTGTACTACTACTGTACTACTACTGTACTACTACTGTACTACTACTGTACTACTAATGTAATTACTACTGCTGTACTACTATAGTACTAGTTAGCTTTCCCTCGAACAGGTTTCCCCCAAATCCCCAAACAAGGTCTTGTATTGCTTTAAACGTTCAACCCCCCAATAGCGCGGAGTTTGGCTACACACCCCCAATTACACAGGCTCACCCGATCTCGCCCGCAAAAAACCTGACCTTGAATAAACACCCATGCCCACCCCCCATTAGAAGGGTCTACTGGTACTGTACTACTACTGTACTACTACTGTACTACTACTGTACTACTAATTACTGTACTAGTAACTAGTAGTATACTAATTAATAAATCAATATGTATTAGCTTTCCCTCGAACAGGTTTCCCCGAATTCCCCGAACAAGGTCTTGTATTGCTTTAAACGTTCAACCCCCCAATAGCGCGGAGTTTGGCTACACCCCCAATTAAACAGGCTCACCCGATCTCGCCCGGAAGAACCTGACCTTGAATAAACCCCCATGCCCACCCCCCCATTAGAAGGGTCTACTGGTACTGTACTACTACTGCTGCACTACTACTTCACTACTACTGTACTACTACTGTACTACTACTGTACTACTACTGTACTACTACTGTACTACTGCTGTACTACTACTGTACTACTACTGTACTACTACTGTACTACTACTGTACTACTACTGTACTGCTACTGTACTACTACTGTACTACAACTGTACTACTACTGTACTACTACTGTACTACTACTGTACTACTACTGTACTACTACTGTACTACTACTGTACTACTACTGTACTAGTAACTAGTAGTATACTAATTAATAAATCAATATGTATTAGCTTTCCCTCGAACAGGTTTCCCCCAATTCCCCAAACAAGGTCTTGTATTGCTTTAAACGTTCAACCCCAAAATAGCGCGGAGTTTGGCTACACACCCCCAATTAGACAGGCTCACCCGATCTCGCCCGGAAAAACCTGACCTTGAATAAACCCCCATGCCCACCCCCCCCAATTAGACAGGCTCACCCGGAAAAACCTGACCTTGAATAAACCCCCATGCCCACCCCCCCAATTAGACAGGCTCACCCGATCTCGCCCGGAAAAACCTGACCTTGAATAAACCCCCATGCCCACCCCCCCCATTAGAAGGGTCCACTGGTACTGTACTACTACTGTACTACTACTGTACTACTACTGTACTACTACTGTACTACTACTGTACTACTACTGTACTACTACTGTACTACTACTGTACTACTACTGTACTACTACACTACTATACTGGTCCCCAAACAAGGTTCTCCGGGACCTTGAACAAGGTTTCCCCCAAACCCCCCAACAAGGTTCTTCCACTTAATCGTTTCGGGGGTTTTGGGGGCGAGGTGTCCGACCTTGTGACCTTGATAGCGGGGGGGGGGGGCTCCCCCCCTTTCTTAATCAGGTTCCCACATTAGATTTATGGTCAAGTCGTTCAGGGTTAGACTAGACGGTAAAGCCCTATGAGGGTGTTTTGAATCCTTCAAGAGTCGCGGTGTCAGGTGGGAATGACAATGCAATCCCGACACTGTGGAGACGCGTGAATCCCACGAACGAACAAAAAATCTGTATTTCTCGCCCCGGGCTGTTAGGTGTTGCGGCGGTTGGGATTGAGGGATTGCGGCTCAAGGCGGGCCTGGACCACCCTGAATGCCTGGTGAGTGCTACAACGTGATCCCTAGGACTCCGCTAGCACCTTCCTCCCTCAGCGCCCAAAACTCTTGAAACAGGCGTTGGGTTAGCTGATCATGCAATTCTCTGCCGTATTCTGGGCACATGTGCTTCTTCAACAAGTTACTGCAACTATACGGTTCTCCGAGCCAAGCATATCAACCACCGAATCCTGAAACCCTAAACCCTACTTAAACTATTCATAAACCGTGAATGCAAAACGCAAATTAAGCCCTAAACCCGACACGAAGCCCTATAGACCCTAAGCAAACAGCTCTAGACCCGAAGCCTCCTAAACCGTAACAGAGGCCGTCTAGATCCCTTGTAGAAGTCTTGAAGGAGCTTTCTATGGATCCCGAAAACCCTAAAACGGAACCCCTAACCTTAAGGGCCTAAGGCTCCATGCGCGCATGTAGTATGGCAATTTAAGGCCTAAGTTCGTGTTAATGGGCACATGTCGCGGTGCATATCCTAAATATCGTTAGCCCTGATGAGACCCGTAGAGGAGGCCTTAAAGAAAGCCCTTAAATGAGCCCTTATGGCAAACTGCTAATGCAGGGGCCTGGAAAATTACCAACATTATCCAGTAGTGTCCCCTATTATATCTATACTTTACTGGAGCCCAAAACCCCATTCTAATGCTTAACGCCCCTACACTGAACCCTTATAATTATTTTAAGCCGTATAGTAACCCTTACACATCCGTTTATGGAAAGCTTGAAAAGGAACGCTAGTAAAATCATTAACGCCCCTATATGGGAGTTTCCGAAAACAGGGGACCCTAATATAGTACCCCCTAAATAGTAGGATCATTATTATAAGGACCCCCCAAATAAGGTACCCCTCAATTTCTGAAACTCCCATATAAGTTTCCACCAGAGGCCCCTGTACTAAACCCTTAGAGTAGCCCTTATAGACCCGTTTTAAGAACCCGTTATTAGAGGAACCCTAGTCTATCTACTAAGGCTCCTGTAAAGAACCCTATATAGATCCCTTTAAAGAACCCTATATAGATCCCCTAAAGGAACCCTATACATCGGGAGGACGAAAGTTTTGACCTACTGGGCCTTTCTTGTCTTAAAGCATCTTGCGGAGTAGCGGAGTAGCGACAAGTGCGATTTACGTGGCCTGGCCAGCGGAGTATTTTCTACCCCGTTTTAAAATTATACTACTTTAATGTTCCGGAGGAGTAACCGGTGGGTCCTGTGCGCTAGGAGTCTACGGGGGAATGGGGGCCTGTCTTGGACGAAACAAGGAATAGGTCAAACTTTCGTCTTACCGTAGTATAGATCCCCTAAAGAAACCCTATATAGATCCCATTAAAGGAACCCTAGGGCCCCTTTAAAGGAACCCTAGGGCCCCTATATAAGTTTCCACCAGGGTGCCGAAGTTGGAGCCTTCCTTGGCAGCACGCGCGGCCCAGCCCTGTGAAATGCCAATGGCCACTGTCCCGCCTGGCTCTGAAACGAGAGTTCAATACCACTGATCAGGGGATGCACATGTATATATAGAGTTGTCTATATATATATATATATGTACTGATATATGAATATATATATATATATACATACATACATACATATGTATACAGAAACACACATGCGACCGTGGAGGCGGTAGGTAGTTGAGGGTTGAGGGTTGAGAGTTCATCACAAACCCTAAGGTCCTAAAGACCCTCTAACCCTCCAGCCGCCCCGCCTGTGTAAATAATCGCCTCGGCCAGCAGAAGCGTCCAGGCCTTGGCATGGCCTGCTTAGAGCATCATGGGACTTAGTAAGTAGGTTATAACTGGGGTTATACGTCCCCTAAGTGGGGTTATCCTAATTATAACCTACTTATAACCTGACTTACTAAGTCCCATGAGCCTTCAAGTGCCAGCAGCCACCAGAGGCTTCACAGACCCTCCTTCCCACCTGAACTAGTTTGGGTGTTCCGTACATTGTAATTACAGTATCACAAACACCAAAACCCTATTCAAGTGAAGGCCCATATATAGTATAGGGTCTTCAGGTTTTATGACGAAGTGCAAAACACAAACTCCCCAGCTGCAGAAGCCTTCGTCGAAAAGAAAGCTGCAGCCCACGATGGCTGAGCAGGTCGCAACAAAGAACAGGGAGGACTCCTGTCAACACGCTAACTAAGTCAGAAACGGGTTTAGGGTTTGGGGTTTAGGGTTTTTAAGGGTTAAGGGTTTAGGGGTTTGGGTGTAGGGGTTTGGGTGTAGGGGTTTAAGGTTCAGGGGTTTGGGGTGTAGGGTCATCATCCAACCAAGCTGGTGAAGCATTCGAAGTTGTGGGCGATTCCAGCATTAGAATAGGGCATTGGGCTCCTTATAGTATACATATTATAAGGAACCTTAAGGAATAATATAATAAGGTAAATAGTTAAGCTTCTATCTTATGAGGGCGTGAAGTTGCACCTCCAAACGTCCTCAATGAGTGCCTTCCATGTTGCGGGTGTTAGTTCTTTGCGCAAGCCGAGCAGGATAAACTTGTGTCGATGACAAGAAGGAGACGGCCACGGACTAGATGTGACCTATAACAAGGAAAGGAAGTCTTTTGTGCAGAAACTGGAAGGACGACCGGCAGCGAAGCACAACTGGTCTTGAGTGGACTTCAGCGAGAGAGAGAGAGAGAGAGAGAGAGAGAGAGAGATATATATATATATATATACGAAGCTACGATGATGGCATGGCGTGTGCCGCAGCAGAAAGCAGTTGGTCCCGTGATCTGCTAGCACGAGTGAGGGCAAAGCGCGGTCTGGGGCTCAGGTTTCCGGACGGGCTGTCACATTTCAGGCACATGGCTCCAGCATAAACCCTAAACTCTAAACCCCTGAACCTTAAACCCTAAACCCTATAATCCCTTCCCCCTAATATTAAACGCCTCCCCCCCCTAATATAAGAACTGGATTTCGGAGGTTTAGTTTTTATATTAGGGGGGTTTGGGTTCGGGGCATCCACGTGCAGTCAGACAAGTCAGCAGCGAGCAATTCCTGCGCAGCCGTTCCGGCTGTAGACAGACCAGACAGTCAGCCCCAAACCCTAAAGCCCTGAGCCCTAAACCTTAAGCCCTAAAGCCCTCAGCCCTAAAGCTTTAGCCCTGAGCCCTAAGCCCTTAAACCCTAAAGCTCTGGTGTCTTTAGTACTGCTGTAATCTTTGGCTCTATAAAGCCCTGAGCCTTAAACTCTAAAGCTCTGCTGTCTTTAGTACTACGGTAGTCTTCCTTCGATTAAAACACATACAGATCTGCCACCCCCCCTAATGTTGTCCCTTTTAAATTGAATGTGGGGCCCGAAACCGCGAAATTCCGGGGGCCGGGAGTTTTTATAGGGGTTGAGTGTTGGGGGGAAGCGATTATCGCAAATGGTAAGCCTGGGTCTTCGGAAGAAGCAACAAGATCCCTCGCTTAGCAATCTACGACCCGGCTGTAACAGTTCGACTATGGCTTTGGAGTAAATCAAAGTGTAGCTAGCTAGGGATCATAGGAGTCATAAGGTGCTTTCGATGGTAGCGAGTCGGCTTGCTTGGGGGATAGCTCGATGAAAATGAAGGATCAAAGGGCACGGGTGGTAAGTTACGACCCCAAACACCTCGGTGCATATGTATTCGGCTAAATCCACGATCTCTATGCAGTAAAAGCCCAAAAGTTGGAAACCCAATAGCCTCAATCCTTAAGAGCGATGCAAAAGGAATCCCAGCACTAGTTGACCTTGATCCGGTTTCCAACTTTATGGGGTTTACCGTACAGCTTCATTACCTTCAACCCCATGCTTTCAGCCCTGAGATGAACCCGACGTCCTTGATGTAGCCGGCCTGTACCTGAATTGGAAGTCACACACGTCACAAATCAATGTGCTACTAATGATGATGATCATACTGATGTCGAAGAAGGCGATGATGATGATTATGATGATGATCGCGTCGGAAGTAGAAGATGCTGATGTTGACGCTGATGTTGATGCTGATGAGGATGAGGATGAGGATGGTCATGGTGGTGTGTTGATGGCAGTGGTGGCGGTAGCGAAACTTCCACTGCTTATAGTGCTGGCCTTGTTGCCGTTGCTGCTCTCAGTTGGGCTACTACTGATGCTGCCAGTGTGCTTCTACTTTCTAAAGCACCACGAGACACTCAAAGTCAGACTTGAACCCAATACCCTAAGGCGATACGGAGACTTGTTGTGGTCCGTGGTGCGAGGATGAGCGCAGCCAGAGCAACGGCGATGCCCAGTGAGCAGATCTGGGCTTGGGCAAGAGAAGTACAGTTCCCAGTGTATTTCCAGACCCTGATGATTCCAGATGAGGCATTGTGTTTACGGATTAGGACTTTGATTTAGAGCTTTCGTTTAAAGCTCCTTTTGATTTAGAGTTTACGGTTCAGGGTTGGGGCGAGGAATGGTGAACTGACAGATGCTGGGTGTGGCTTTTTGGCCTTCTTAGCGGCTTTCCGTTCAGGCGTCATCTCGATGCCGACCGGATAGTGCTCTGAACAGGCTAAAGGGAACTCCAGAAAGTTGGAATATGGTTTCAGGGTAGGATACCTTCTAATTTACCATAAAGGGTTTAGGATAATCATATTCCAACTTTCTGGCTTTTACTGTAAAGGTTACCGACCCTACTACGAAGATAATGCTTGTTGCAAGCCCTGCAGGCGTTGGCATGTGGCATTGTACAAATATGTAAACCCTGTAAAACCGACCCTTTTGAGGGTTCCCAGTTATGATTTTCTGTTGTCTGTTTTCGAAGTCCTTACAACCTTAGTTAAAACGGCAGGCTTTCTGTTAAAGCAAGTCTTGCCAAGACCTCCTCGAACAACTCCTAGAGCGAATCATCTACGACCTCTCGTCAAAACTTGAACAGCCAAGCCCTGACCCTAAACCCCTACGCTGTTGAACACTTCCAGAACCTCAAAGACCAAAATGCCCACTAATTGAAAGTATAGGATCTCTAAACTTTTCTGATACTATGAACCCCTAAGCCCTATATGGTATTTTGAATTTTGAACCCTAAACCCCAGAAGGCTGTTGAATACCTCCAGAAGAGCTGGGCCATGGACCGCAGTAAAACAGATGCCGCTGAAGTAGGGATCCTCGCAGCGGGCACAGTCTTTGATGACCCAAAATCTTGACTTAAGGATTAAGGAATACCTAGGGCTCCTTTAAGGAACCCTTAGAGGTGTATATATATATATATATATATATTCCGGAATTAAGGGATATTGGGTCCTCGCAGCGGGCAGGGCTTGATGGGCTGAAGCGGGCGTTGCAATGACAAATTCTGCTATGGGGGGTGAGGGTTTAGGGTGTTTAGGGTAGGGCCTAGGGTTTGCAAGGGCTTAGGTTTTAGGGTGTTTAGAGTTTAAGCTGTTTTAGGTGTTTGCTTTTACGGGGGCGGGGGCGCGGGGGGCGGGGGGGCAATTGACAAAGCCATGGGCATGGTCTTGGCTATTGGTTGAGTAGGCTGGAGCCTCGCATCCTCGTGGCTCGGGTCCACCCTGTGGACCTAGGTTCCTGAGTAGCCCCGTTATACTAAGGGTACCCTTTTTCGTACTACTCGGTTGTAATGAGGGACCAAAAGGGCACTACTCAGGAACCTAGAAACCCCTCACTTTGCGCAAGTCGCTTCAAACCAGTTGCCCATCCGGAAAAAGCCCAACGGTTTCCCAACCCCCCTCAACACAAAGCGCTAAACTTTGCTATCAACGCCTTGGGGGGCCTCCTCGGGCCCTTAGTAAAGGCTATGGGTTTGGGGGGTGTTCAGGGTTTAGGGTTTCGAGGTTAGGGTTAGGGTTTAGGACTTGTGGGCTAGGGGGCCTGCATACCCATAGGCGGGACCTGAAAAGGGTCTAATGACAGCGCCTCTTTCACGAAGTAGGAGTCCCCTACCCCCCGAAAGGGGGGTTCATATGGGCAGTTCCCTCAAGGGTCCCTTTTTCGGTTCCCAACAACAGCACGGCACCCTTCTCAAAAGCAGCTAAAGGGACCCTAGCCGCTCTGATGATGGCAACATGCTGTCCGAGACACCCAGCCGTAGAATACCTCCAGCATCATCAGGGTCGATACTTCCACCGCCGCCAGCCTTCGGGGTTTGGGGTTTGGGGGATCAGATAGGCGCCCGAGAAAAAAGCACACACAACGGGCAAGGGCTTGAGGGTTTTGGAGCTTAGGATCAGGAAACCGGAGATCCAACCCCCCAACCCAGAAAGGCGCTACTACTTGGAGGGGCAGGTGACTTAGTAAGTAGGTTATAAGTAGAGTTATAATTAGTCAGTAGGTTATAAGTAGGGTTATAATTGGGGCAACGCCATTTAGGCTACTTATAACTCTACTTATAACCTACTTACTAAGTCAGCCCTTCTATGGAAAAGACGCCGTGCATCGCTGAAGAGGTTTCTAATCCTAAGGCTCAAACCCCTAAAGCCTAAAGCCTCCTTTGAGACGGTCTTGGGGCCCAACCTTAACCCCAACTATCCTAGCTTTTTGGTGTTAAGTATTATGGTTTCCTTGTACAGGGCCCTTACTTAAAGGATCATGGGACTTAGTAACTAGGGTTCTAAACAAGGTAATTATACTTCTAATTACTCATAACCCCAATTAGGGGACTTTTAACCTTACTTACTAAGTCCCCTGATCCTCCAAGCAGACCAAGCGTCGTAAAGGGCCGCTCCAGGGAATAGCCAACTTGGTGCCAGACCTTGGGTTGGGATCTAGGGTACGAAACCCTGGGTTTAGGGTTACGGGTGTAGGGTTCAGGGTTTCAAGGGTTCAGGGTTTGGCTCAGGATCAGGGCAGGAAGCAGCTATTCTTTCGAGGCAAGATGTAGTGCTTGGCTTAGCATCTACATTGCGTCGAGTGTTCTGTTTGCGACTGTCACGTCGGAGTTCCGGTATCGAAATTGGCTGAGGATTGCCAGCTTGCAGGCACTTGGAACAAGGGCTCGGACAAAAACGTGAATGTTGGTTTGACAAGGAACAATCCCCAAGGCCCCCATGTCGAGCCCAAACTGCAGCAGATTCAACTGGCGCACCTTCAAAAGAACTGAAACCCTAATCCTTAAGCTAGGCCCTAACTTCGTTAGAATCTGAAACCCTCAACCCTAAACACGGACCCCGAGCGCTAAACCTTAAAGCTTCGTGAGGGGCCATGGTCTGCCGCTTCTCATCGTCCAGGTCCTGTGCGAAGCTCGGAAACATCTGAGGACTAATGTAGGAACCTGATTGAGAAACCCTGGGCCTATATCACCAAAGCAGTAGGATTCATAAAAGGATCCCTAATAAAGGCCCAAGGTTCCTCAATCAGGTTCCTACATTGGCTGCTCATCTGCAGCCAGTTTTTACGAAGGCAGAATCCGTGCACTTGCAATGCAAACCTGCTTCTCTCGCCAAATGCTATACAGTAGAAGCCACAAAGTTGGAAACCCAATAGCCTCAATCCTTAAGAGTAATGTATAGGGAATCCCGGCACGATTAGGCCTTAACCCGGTTTCCGACTTTATGGAGTCTACTATACTATGATAAGTGTGCACCGTTGAGTTCAAACTTTGAGACTTGCCCTGCGGCCAATAGCGGCCCTCGGGGTGATGCAAGAACAATAGGGGACTTAGTAAGTAAGGTTATAAGTACCCTAAGTGGGGTTATAAGTAATTATAAGTATAGTTGCCTTATTTATAACCCCAGTTACTAAGTCCCATGACCCTTTAAGAAGAGCATATGTGTCAAAAACGGCGGGTTCTTGAAAAGGGGTCTGTCAGGGTTGCTGTAAGGGTCTGTTGGGGCTTCGCAATTAGAACTAGTTGGGCCTAGTAGTTGGAATAAGGTTTGTTATAGATATAGTAAGGAATGGAAGGTGTAGTCTTACTTATCATTCCGACCCCTATATACAGGCTGATCGGATGGTACTTAAAGGATCATGCGACTTAGTTAGTAACCAGATAAGGTAACTATATCTATAATCACGTATAACTCCAATTAAGGTACTTATAACCTTTCTAAGTACTCTTATAGAACCCTTGTAGAAACCCAAGGATCCCTTAGTTACAAGCGTGCTTCCTAAGCTCCCTGAGCCTCCGAGGGGTGCGTAGTTGAGGCACAATCCAAAGGCCTAAACCCTGAAGCCCTAAACCCCAACACCCTCGACCTAAACCCCCAAAACCCTCAAAACCCTAAAACCTAAACCCTAAGCCCCATGAACCCTGAAACCTGAACTCTCTCCGAGAACGCAGCAGTGCAGGAACAATCCGAAGTTGCCTCCAAACCCTTAACGCTTGAACCCTAAACCCTTAAACTCTTGAACCCTAAACCCCGAAACCCCTAGCTAAAACCTAAACCCTGAAACCCCTAAACCCTGAAACGCTGAACCACAATGCCTCTGGTCTCTGCTCAGCACCGGCCGGGGGTGGGCGAGCAGCTGCCTCCAGTGATACGGGCCCAGGGTTCAAGGCCTACTTGGAGGGGCAGGGGACTCAGTAAGGGCTCTTAAAGGGCTCTATAGGGTTCCTTAAAGGGAGCTACAGGGTTAGGGTTTAGGGCCTACTTGGAGGGCCAGGAGACTTAGTAAGGGCTCTATAGGGTTCCTTAAAGGGATCTATAGGGCTTCGGGTTTAGGGCCTGCTTGGAAGGCCAGGGGACTTAGTACGGGCTCTTAAAGGGCTCTATAGGGTTCCTTAAAAGGGATCTACAGGGCCTAGGGTTTAGGGCCTACTTGAGGGGCCAGGGGACTTAGTAAGTCGTTTACAAGTAGGGTTATAATTGGGGTGACTCCATATAGGGTACTTCTAACTCTACTTATAACCTACTTACTTAGTCCCCTGCCCCTCCAAGTAGGGTTTAGGGCCTTCCAGGATCTTAATGGGCATGCCTACCCTATAGCGGGTACCGAATAGCTATATTAGGTTACATACCTAGGGGTCTTTATTAAGGGTCCCTCCTTTTATTATCCCTGGATGTTTGGAGCTTAAGGGTTTCGGGATATCGGGGTTGCAGGTTTAGGGCTTTGGGGTTTAGGGGTTCGGGAACTGAGACCCTAAGGGTTGGCTTTGGGGTTTGGGGTTTCGGGTTTCGGGGTTTAGAGCTTAAGGGTTTGGGGGTTCGGGGATTCGGGATTTAGGACTCGATTCCCCAAGCCCTAAACCCTATGACGTAAGATTGAGGCTTTTAAGGCTCTGCTTCCCTAGCTTCGAAATCTTGCGAAGTACAGAGGGGCCTTAGCAACTAAGTTTCAGGTTTGGCGCCCGCCATAGATACGACTTCGAATAAGGCTTTCGCAACGATAGAGCAGATGAAACAAGGAGCCAGGATATCACTTGACTATCTGGTGGGGCATACCATCGTGTACATAAAATAATGAGGAGCCCTACAGAATATCTTCAAGACCACATGATCTTTAAAGTATGGGATCTGTAACCCTTATGCTCTATAAACCCCTATATGGTATTTGAACCTTAAACCCTTCTAGAGTTCATTCCGTCCTTAAGGCAGAGATAGTACATTGACGCTCTGGTCGCCGAAGCAAAACCCTGCTGCTCCCTGGTTCGAACCCGAGCCATGCTCGGACGTGCTTGGTATCAGGACCCTACTTGGAGGGGCAGGGGACTTAGTAAGTAGGTTATAAGTAGAGCCATACTTGGGGTAACTCCATTAAGGGTACTTATAACTCTACTTATAACCTACTTACTAGGCCCCCCTGCTCCTCCAAGTAAACAACTTTAAAGATCCCTAAACCCTAAACCCCGAACCATCCTAAGCACTTGCAGTAAGCCCGAATCCCTAACGCCTAAACCATAAGTCCTAAACCCTAAACCATCCCAAACCCTGCTGTAAATCCTAAGCCCTTACCCCTACTTAAAGGATCATGGGACTTAGTAACTAGAGTTATAAGTAAGGTAACTATACATTATAATTACTCATAACCCCACTTAAGGTACTTATAACCTTACTTACTAAGTCCCCTGATCCTCCAAGTAAGCTTCTAAGAGAAGCTGCTAGCACTGGGGTCTAGCAGCTTGCTAGTCCCGATCCGAAGCCGTGGCGCAGTCGCAAGCCCCCAAAACACCACGAAATGAACCCTGAGAGAGTTTAAGGTTCAAGTATATAGCATTTTAGTATTCGTAGAAAAAGGCCCATACTTCAAATTGGTCTTTTGGCCTTTAAGGTCTGCCCTGTGCCTTGAAACCTCCACCTGCACGACTATAAGTCGTCGACCTGCAACGCTTCAGTCTCAACCCGATCAAACCCGCAACGCGCGACCCCTGTCGCGAGGAGACGCGGATGAGGTCTCCATCAAATCCCGCAGCCGAAACCTTTACGGCCAGAAAACACTGTAAAAAAAACAGTGGCAAGGTGATTCAAGCCCTGGCCCTGTTCTGGGTTCTTGGGAGGGGATTTAATCTAATGTACTTTAATACAGAAACCATATGTATTACTATAGATCTCTGCTATGGTAACGTACATTAAGCCCCAGTATTCCAGACTGTACTATACTGAACTTAGAACCCTAGCAAAAACTACAATTTTAGCTGTTTCTTGGGGATTATAATAGCCAAAAATTAAAAACTATTTCTAAGTACCCCTAAGTGCAGTGGCGGGAGCCGTTGACACCTCGAATCTCCCGGCCTGAGCAGCAAACGGCTTCCTGTGCAGCTCGGAAGTGATTTGGGAAGGCTAAGTTGGGTTTAGGGTTTAGGGTTTAGGGTTTAGGGTTTAGGGTTTAGGGTTTAGGGTTTCTCGGGCTTAAGGGTGTCGGGTTAGGTGTCTTTTTGAACTCCTTTTTGATGACTAACCCGGGTTTAGGGCTTAGGGTTCAGGGTATAGGGTTAAACCGAAACCAAAAAAGGCCTTGACACTCCGAATAACCTTTGAATACGTTGCTTTCAACTAAAGTGATACGGGGATACTGTTGCAACAGTGTTTAGGGTCCTTCACTTGTCCAGCGCATTGGACGGTTCTTTAGTTTAGATATTAAAGCACTCAAGGGAATGACTGCTCACTTCGAAACCAGCTCACAACCGCAGCTCGAGTTCGAACATAACAAACGCGTAGTTCTCACGCAACAAGACCTCTGAATCAGCTATCGCCTAGCACCGGCTCGCAAAGAGCCGTTCGCGCTTGCTTAGTCAAAGTGCATCTTGGGATTTTCTCACCCAGCAGGGCTACGCACGATTGTGGACAACCAACCATCCATGGCCCTTGCGCGGCTGGAATTTTCACGGAACTCCGGGAACCAGGTCCTAGACCCTAAACCCAAAGGCAGGCTTGCAGAGACTGGCCCTAAGATGGATTAGTGTTTCTGGCCCTCAGCACGTTACATCCTTGAGCTTTTTCTGCCATAATTAGAAGTCCTAAACCCAAACGCTAAAACCTCACACCTAAACGAGCTACTATTATAGGGACTATAAGGGGGAACTAGTTCGTAATTGTGCCGTACTCTGCGGGCTAGCACCCCAAGCGTGCCTCTCTGGCAGCTGCGTTGGGACGATGATGGCCGTAAAGGTAGCCATAGCCATGGAAACCCACACCAGAACCAAGTGGACCTCAGGAACACAGCCACCGTTTAGGGCTTCGGGAGTTTTGCACAGTTCAGGGTTTAGGGGCGCAGTCGCAGGGTTTTGTACCTGTGGGAGACCAAGGCCTAGTAGGATCCCGTCGTAAACGACTGTGCCTGTCCGCGCCCCACTATCTCAGTCCGACATAAGAGCCCGCCGGAACTGCTGCATGTTCGGGTCGTAAGGTTGGTTCAGGGGAAGTTGAGCCAGCCACATAAGACCCTGAACGAATCCTTGTAGAAGCCTGAAAGTAGCAAAGGTACATGCATCATATCTTCGGCCCCCTCCGACACTCTAGGCCCTAAACTCGTACAGCAAAGCGGTTTGCGCGTATCTCAAAATCCCGAGCCCTTTCAGCACACGGCAGCGGCCGATACTTGCACCACAGCTTCCCAGAGACTCCTAAACCCCTCAATTGAGGAATATACCTTACATCCTTTTATAAGTATAATTCAAGTCTCTGGGTTTAACCATACCTAACCCTACCTGAGCCCTGAAAAACCTACCCTATCCTACATTTCTCGGGCTCCTTGTTTTAAGTGCCTTATCAATGTCCTTGACAAGGAATGTTACTCGGGGTTTCGGTCAACCATAAATCCTAAGCCCTAAAGCCCTAAACCTTAAGCGTAAATTCTAAGCCCTAAGCCCCTCCAAATGTGGATCCACGGAGCCCATGCCATCATGCTCCGCGGCGAGACCTGAGAAATATCGGGAAAGGTGCTGCCCAGCACATACATACCCGAAGGGTCCGAGGTACCTATATAGGGTTGTCTTGCCCTCCACAAGAGTCAATCCTACTATAGAAACCCAACTTCCTGCTCTGATCTACTATGCAAAGGACCCTTTGAGATGGAGGATCATGGGACATGCGTAGTAACCTAAGGGCGTAAGGGTTTTGGATGAGGAGTATGGGACGAAATCTTTGCCTGAACCCTACGGAACATGCATGTTAGGATTCCATATTCTGAGCCCAAATCCCTTTGAAGGAACCCCCAAACCCCAAAACCCTAAACCCTAAAACCCTAAACCCTAAAACCCTAAACCCTAAAACCCTAAACCCTAAAGCCCTAAATCCTAAAACCCTACGACCCTGAAACCCTCAACCCTATAGATCCCTTGGAGGCACCCTGAGTACAGTTTCAAGGAACCTGAAACCCTCAACCCCAAGCCATGGAAGCTTTTCAACCCACTCGGCGGCCCGACGCGCTCTCCATCGGCCGCCTCTCCAGAGATCGCTGCTCGGGCGACGGAGTAGACCAAAGGACCTTGAGCAGTTTAGGGGGTTCTCTTGGGATCTATAGGGTTCCTTAAAGGGTTCTATGGGGTTCCTTAAAGGGATCTATGGGGTTGAGGGTTTAGGGTCTACTTGGAGGGGGCAGGGGACTTAGTAAGTAGAGTTATAAGTACGCTCAAAGGAGCTACCCCAATCATAACCCTACTTATAACCTACTTACGAAGTCCCCTGCCCCTCCAAGTAAGGGGTTCTCTGATGCAATCTATAAGGGTTCCTTCAAAGGATTTATAGGGTTTAGAGTTTAGGGTTTAGGGACTTAGGGGTTTAGAGTTTAGGGGTTTTGGGGTTTAGAGTTTAGGGGTTTTGGGGTTTAGGGGCTTAGGATTTAAGGGTTCGTGGGTTTAGGGCTCCTTCGAAAGGGTTGCATATGGGTCTCCATGTGTTGGTTTTTAAGGTTTCAGGGTTGTGGAGATAGGGCTTCAGGGGATCTCGGCTTTAGAGATTCAGGGACTTATAAGGTTTAGGGATTTAAGGATTTCTATGGATTTCTCAGGCTTAGGGATTTAGGGCTTCGGGGGAAAGGCAGTGCCGTGCAGCATACAGGGGTGGAAGCTTAGGGGGTTCTGCCACTGGCTTTTGAATGAAATTTTGGCTTGACCTGTTCTCGCCATCCCGACCCAAGCAACCTCAAAAACCCAAGACCCTAAACCCGGGCCTCAAAACGGGCTTGAGAATAGTAGGAGGATTTTCGAGCTCTGCCTCTCGGTCTTCATGTTCAAGCGCTACTTGTCGAGTATCCTGGGGAACTAAAAATTAACCTCTCGGGCCATATTGGGAGCACATAGGGATGATGATGCCCCCAAACAGTTAAAAAGGAGGCTTGCTGCAATTCTGGAGCTGGGACTTGCAAAACAAAAGGCGGGTATTCTAAGGGCTGAGCCTCCCTATGAAAGCGCACCTCGAACTACCAACACCTAGTTTTGCAGGGTCCCTACATATTGGAAAGTCGGGTTGATTATAAGAACCTACAATAAATTACTCATATCACTTGTAGCTCCTACTCTAGCTATACCCTAATCTAACCCAAATCCCTGTTCGTGTTCGGACGATTGACGGTTAAGGCCCCCGTACACTCTCCAACGCCCGAATGTAATGTAGGGGCCTAAATAGATGGAATAGGGTTTGGTGTTCCTTTGTACGTAGTATATTTGTAATAAGGAACCGTAAGGAGGGATCTCGGTACTTCTTTAGGCTTCTATATTAGCCAAGCTGCCCAGCACCAGGCCCATATTCCGGGAGCACTGTCCGAGGGTCATCCAGAAGGTGCGATTCCTTGCAGCTTTCTCGCGGGATGTGTTAAAGCGGGTTCAGAGTTTTTCGTAGAAGACGATGGGATTTAGTAACTAGGGTTAAAACTGTACTAAACTTCGTATCTATACTTATAATTTATTACATATATAACCCAACTTAGGGTATTTATCACCTTACTTACTGACACCCCTGATCCTGCAAGCAGAGATTACGGGGTTTCGCATTTAGCGGTCAAGCCTACCTTGTTTAGGGTCCCCTACGATGGTTTCCATCTGTATGTATGTGTTTATTACATATGTATATATATATATATATATACGCACATCCATACATATGTATACATATATATATAGTTTGGTCTTTGAGCTGTAGGTGATGTTTAGCGGGTTTCGGGTCGAGGGGTCTAGGTTTTGGGGCTTCAGGCTTGGGGACGATGTAGGGCACCCTTTAAACCCACAGACTCCAACACGCACAACATACAGAATATCTCTTGGTATAGAATGTCCCAAAGGGTTCAAAAATACTACCATTGTGGAATCAGATCCCAAAAGACCATCCCAGTATGTATGGCTTCTGGGACCGAATTCAATTATCGTCGTGTATATAATATGGACACTCTGGGTATAGGATACCTCTAAGCCCAACCTGTGATCAAGGGACTTAGCCTAATGTAGCGGCCTTAGTAATTTGAACCGGGCTTTGGAATTTTTAGTTCAAGTACCAGTTGGTCAGACCCCCTATGCCCTATATTACCATCAAAATAAGATTCTCCGGTGGCGTGATCTTGCTCCAGAAGATCATGATGGGAACGGCGGGCAAGCACATGGTGAACATAGAGACCTCCAGAAGCGAAACGATCACACAATCAAGCGACTATGGGACGGGAGCCATCCCATCATCATTGTTGCGGAACGTGGGACACCATCCACGAGGACAAGACGAATGCATGACATTTTCTGGATAGGAAGATGCTCATTCCTCTGCCAACCAAGCATCGCAATGAAGCCCGACCTGCGACCCCCAAACTGATGCGTCCCAGCCCCGAGCGTTTGGTGTTAAGTAGGAGCTCTCCGCAGCGTCATGAAGGGGCCTTAACAATTAGAATTGGGTTTTGGTGGATATTATATGCTGTAGTTTCAGCCAACTGCGGGCGGACCAAATCCGCAATTGAAACCTACCTGGACTCTCCATCCCCTAGTAGACCCCAAATAGCTATCAGATCACTACGGGACAGGGTACCAAGAGTGTCCGTAACCAGAAACCCGCGAAGGGCGAACTTATTTGGCTTCAAAGCTCTCTCGATACCTTAGAAGCCCGAAAAGCCCAAACCCTCCACCCGAATAGAGAGGCCTAAACAGTCACGAATACAGGGGTCCTTGTTATGATAATATAATATGCCCCCAAACCCTATTCAACTTATTCAGGCCCCTATATTCAGCCCCCCCAAGCCTAAACCCTAAGCCCTAAACCCCAAAACCCCGAAATCCACAAATTGCCTGGCCGAGGAGGATGCAGGTCCACCAGACCAGGTGGACTTGCTTGCTTTCCACCTTACGAGGCACGAACTACTAGGTTCTTGGGTTTAGGGTTTAGGGTTCCTGGGGTTAGGGTTTAGGGTTCTTGGGTTTAGGGTCTAGGGTTCTTGGGTTTAGGATTTAGGGTTCTTGGCTTTCCACCTTACTTGGAGGGGCAGGGGACTTAGTAAGGGTTCTGCACTTAGGGCTCCTTAAAGGGATCTATAGGTACTATAGGGGTTCCTTAGAGGGGGGGCAGGGGACTTAGTAAGTAGGTTATAAGTAAAATTATAAGTTCTAAATGAATGGAGTTACCCCAATTATAACCCTACTTATGAACGACTTACCAGGTCCCCTGCTCCTCCAAGTACGAGGCACGAACACAATACTAGGTTCTTGGGTTTAGGGTTTAGGGTTCTTGGTTGTAGGGTTTAGGTATATAGGTCTTAGGGTTCAGGTTCATGGCTCTTGGTTGTAGGGTTTAGGGTATAGGGTTTAGGTTTCCACCTTACAAGCATAAAACTAGGTCTGTTGTTGGACTGCAAGGGTTTAAGAAACAGAAGAGGGCTCTGGGTTGTTACAGAAAGGAGCTACGCCAAGCAACCCGAAGGAATGACATTGGCAGACACTGTGGCTTCTATATCATTTCGATGCAACAACTGCGTAGCAGTGAACCTTGCTCCAAAAGCAACAATCGATACATCTGCGAAGGCCCCGAACTACGGAAGCCTCAGTGCATGCATGGCAAGAAGCCTGCATTCCTATCACATGTGTAATACGGTATTAACACAAATAGCATAAAGTCAAATAGTGTAATATAACATAACTAGGTTCCTGAGCTGCCCCTTCATAATAAGGGTGCCCGGTGTCCTTCTGTTTGGTGTTAATAAGGGACTCCTACAGTAATAAGGGCTTCAAAAGGGTACCTGTCAGGAACCCAACCTCAATAGTAGGTTACGGGGGTACATGATCTTTGGTTAGTAACCTACTATTTAGGTATATGGAGCCCTACTGTTGATGATATAAATCCTGCATTACCCATAATAAGGAATATACCATAATTCCCATAAATTTAGGTCCTTAAGGTCATGCAGGATATATATATATATATATATATCATCAACCGTAGGGATAACCCCATGCGGCCTTCAATCGTGCTAGAAATCCTGCACTACCTTATTGAGGGCCCTAAACGATGGGAATTATGGTATATTCCTTATTATGGGTCATGCAGGGTTTATATCATCAACCGTAGCATTCTCTAAGGGCCCCATGTACCCAAATGGGAGTTTCCGAAAATAGGGGTACCTCATTTTGGGGTCCTTGTAATAAGGATCCTGCTATTTAGGGTACTATATTAGGGTCCCTTGTTTTCGTAAACTCCCAAATAGTCTAGACATTGGCTTTAAAGTAGTCCCTATATAGGTGCATTGACCCTAAAGTTTTTACTTCTTGGGTACATGAACCCTTAGGGATTTCAAGGTCAAACCCGAAGCCCTTCCCCGGCTGTCGCCCGGAGCTCTGAGCAACTTGGAGGGTCAGGGGACTTAGTAAGCTTTATATATCGTATACAGAATATTCATATAATTACCCCGGGTATGGATGTAAGTGCTTAAGCAAATAAAAACAAAAGTACATCTAGCGATGGATGTTTCTATGTATCTATGCATCTATCATCTATCATCTTTCTGATAGTTGATCTAGCTAGCTATCTAGCTATCTGCGTGTATATATACATGTGTGTATATAGAGATGTCGTCTTTCAAGTCTCGCAGAACAAAACGCAAAGCATATTGAATCCTGGGTCCCAGGCCGTTGTGTTGATGAAGACTGCCAGCGCAAGGTTTACGGCTGCCGTCAGAACGTGTGATCCCAGCGCCAGCCTCAAGGGAACAACACACTTTGTTGGGCTAGGGGGCCGTCCAACCGCTCTCTGCCTAAGCAACCGAGCCCAGCCAAACGTCACCGCCTGGATTGAAGACACTCTGTCTCACTCTGCCCCTTCTCTATTGGAGGCCTCCGGGCAAAGGATTGCTTCCACCGTGCTTCGTCCACAAGAGCTTTCCCCACACCTTGGTTGTTCAGGTTGGGTTTTAGGGCTGAGGCTGAGGGGTTTAGAGGTTCGGGGCTTGAGGCTTGGGGCTGAGGGTCTAAGATTTAGAAGCTTACTTAAAGGATCATGGGACTTAGTAGCTGGGGTGATACGGAAGGTAATCATACCTGTAAGTGCGTATACGCCCAGTTATGGTACTTATTTCCTAGTAAGTCCCCCGATCCTCCTTATAGAACCTTAGTAGAAACCCAGGGTTCCTGATTCTAGAAACCCTTATAGAACCATTAGGGGATACTTTGTGGACTTCACCTTGGATTCTGTAGCTCTCGCGCCCGGTGGCTGGACCCTTTAACTTCAGGTTTAAGCTTACTGTTCTGAACAACTCCAACTTGAAACTTGTGCAAGCGCCTAGACCCTCCATCCACCCTCGAATATACCCTAAACACCCCCTACTAAGGACCGTAAGGGCTCTATTAAAGGGCACTTGGGGGGTCGTGGTATGTAACAGTCGAGATACACGGAATGAGGAATTTTGGAATGTGCGCTTGACGGTCTAGGGTCGAGGGCTGGGTACTGCCCCCATAGACCAGCAGTCTATAATACGGCTACCATCAAGGGCTTACAATAGGGGCCTTGATCATTACCTATACTACTTTGGGGGTTCCTTATCATAGCTATAGTATAATCAGTCGGAGGCGCCGATGCCGAGGAGGCCCATAAGAACACCGGCACCTCTTGCAGCTTTGCGTGAAAAAGTGAGGTTTCAGGACTTCGGGTCTAAGTTAAGGCTTCATTTTTCAAGTCAGTGAAGTTCCAGGGTTTAGGGTCGAAGGCTTCATTTTGTCAAGGGTGAGTTGGGCTCCACGGTTTAGGGTCTAGGGTAGTTATTCAGGGTTCACGGTCCGTTAGACACATTAAAGGGAACTGCAGAAAGTTGGAATATGGATTACTGGTAGGATCCCCTATAATTTACCTTAAAGGGGTTACGATAATGATATTCCAACTTTCTGGCTTCTACTGTAAAGCCTTTAAAAGAAGGCTTTACCGGTTTCACTGCTTCACGGATTAGAGGGCTTCCTTCGCTTTACGGGAGCAGTCACCTCCTGATGAGGTTTTGCTCCTTCAACCCGATAAAAGACAAACCTTGCAACACTCCCCCATGGCCCAATAACCCCAAACCCCAAACATTAAACCTAAACCGAAAATCCTAAACGTAATAAACCATAAACCCAACAGCTCAATAACTCAGTGTACAGGATGCCGGGCTCCTAGCGCCTCGTGGCGCGTGGCTGAAATCTGAAGCCTAAGCCCTATGATGTATGTACATCTATATTCAGAAAATTGTGTATACACAGGAGCGACGGCAGCAAAGATAGGCTCTTTAGGGTCCTAAACCGGTTGAGGGTTTAGGGTAGGTGGGACAAAAGACAGAATGCTGTGCATTCTTACATTGATCCTCGGTGGGGCTTCTCGGGTTGGCTGATGGAGCTTTAGATGTACCATGGTGCTGTGATCAAACGACAGCTTTGTGTGAGACCCCGTTTGTAGAAGACCAGCACATCTGTAGGCTCAGCTTGCCGACGTCTCACCAAGGCGCTCAAATAGAAACCGGAAGCCGTGCCCCCATGTCCCAGTGAGAGGGCGAAATCCAGCGACAGAGGAATCATCATTGACCTCGCAGGGCGCATGGATTCGGAAAGATGAAATTCCTTGCCACGTGTACTACAAATTCGGAGCATTGAGGGTTGCTTGCCGTAGGCACAGGGATAACCTTCAAGATTTTGGCAGAAACCAGGGTAATGAGCTTTCAAGCCTATGGCCCAAAGAAAGTATTCAACACAGCATCCGTGATTTCGGTTGTAGTTACCCGGACCCGAAACTCGACATGCACGTTCAAGGGAGCGTATCGCAAGCATCCTTCAGCAAATCTTCCTCAACTGGGTTCTTGTTAAGGGATTTAAGTTAAGTTAACCATAAAACTACAGACCCCTATTATGGTAGCTTGACACAAATCTCTTCACAACACCTCGGTCAAGCATCATGGATTCGGCTTAGGGTCGGGGGTTGTGAGCCGATACTGAGAAACGAATGTTCGTGTACACTGATGACCCCTCGAAAATCGGTGCAAGTGTTATTATCTCGGCAATTTCAAGGTTTCTGTGGCTTTGAGTGAGCGACTCGTTCTTGGACCTCGGACTCGAAAGTCAAGCTTGGAGAAACTTTCGCAATGAAACCCGAGTTCAATTTCTGTTGCTATAGCGCTGGATTCCTGCGCAGGGCTAACTCGCTCGATGGCGCATGATCACTGTCGTCTAGTAATGTGGGCTCGGCGTCCACATATAAGCCAAGGTCCCATCCCTTCCATCTCTTCGAACCCTAGACCCCAACACCCGCAAAACCTAAACCGTGACGCTCGACACCCCAGGTGTCGATCCAAGGCGGCCGGAGGGCATCTGCAAGAAAACCCACATTGACATCCTGGCTGCTGTGTTTTTAGGGCTTTACGTTGAGGGCCGGTGCTGGGTTGCTGGAGTTCTTCGACCTCAAAACCTGTTTCGGCAATTCGCAGGGCGACAGATTGCTCGCCCTACCCAGAAGCTGTGTGAAACTTTGCCGAGGCACACCCTAAAAATTACTTAACCCGGAAACTGAAGCACTGTCGATACCTGCGCAACCGAGGGTGTAGAGCTTGCGTCATAGATAGAACCCTTAAAGATCCCTAATTTAAAGGAAACCTAAAATCCACAGATGCCGCAAGGTCTTGTTAGGAACCTTATAGGTCCGCAATGGAACCTTCGAAAGGAGCCCTCAGCCAGGGGTCTAAAACCGTAATAGAACCCTTCAAGCTCACTTTACAACACATCCTGAAAAGAACCTTATAGTTTCCTTCTATAGTTACCGTGTAGAACCGTCCAAACCCTAAACCCTAAATCCCAAACCCTACCTGGACCCCAAATAACCTACCATTCTACTTGGAGGAGCAGGGGACTTAGTAAGTCGTTCATAAGTAGGGTTATAATTGGGTAACTCCATTTCGGGTACTTATAACTCTACTTATAACCTGCTTACTAAGTCCCCTGCCCCTCCAAGTAGGGCTCCTTATTATAACTTCTATATCTAAATCCTTAAAACGGTGTGGTGGGTTATTTAGGGTCTGGGTAAACCCTAAACCAAATGAACCCGATAAGCCACGGGTCTCTTCTGCCAAGGCTCAACAGTCCCAGGATCTGACATAGAAGATCTTGCACAAAGAGGTTTCCTGACAGTTTTGGGGTTGCTTTCTTAGGGTTTCCTTAGGATTAGGGTTTGGACAGGTTTCCTTAGGGTTTTGAGGTTTCTAGGGTTTATAGAGGGTTTAAAGGATTTTTGCTAGGGTTTTGGGTGCTTTCTTCCAAGGTTTCGATCAGGAATCTCAAAAGGTCCCTTTTATAAGGGCTCAAGGCTGGAAGTTTATCGGGTCCCACAACAGCACATAAGCAAGAACTAGGATAGGGATATCCCATGCACACCCCCTTATAATGAAGCCCAACTAGACCCAAGAGTAACCTAGGAGTAAAAAGGGGTGCCTTTTGGGTTTAAAGGGGCTTATAAGGGAACCTGAACCCTCAAAAAAGGGAATAAGGGCCCACTCTGGGTCCTAGCAACCAACAATTTTCAAACTATAGATCCCTTAAGGAACCCTATATGGATCCCTTTAAGGAGCCCTATATAGATCCTTAAACCCCCACACTCTGGGTCCTAGCCAATCAGGTAGGGAGATCAGGGTTCTGGAGTTTCGGGTTCGGGTTTCAGGGTTTGGGAGTTTAGGTTTCATAAACGAACCTACAGGGTTCCATTGGGGATCTATCGCCACGAGTTCTTTGAGGGTTTTGGGTATAGGGCTGAGGGGTTTAAGGGTTAGGATTTTCGGGTTTCGGGCCTAGGATTAAACTTTTTCGGTTGCCGGATGAGAGCAGCACAACTCACAGAACCCTAAACCCTACTTAAAGGATCATGGGACTTAGTAACTAGGGTGATAAATAAGGTAACTATACTTATAAAGACTAATAACCCCACTTAAAGTACTTATAACCTTACTTACTAAGTCCCCTGATCCTCCAAGTAGACCCTAGCGAGCCCTAGCTAAGTCCCCTGATCGTCCAAGTAGACCCTAAAACCTAAACTAAACCCTATGGATCCCTTTCGGGAACCCTTTTGATCCCTTTAAGGAGCCCTTTAAGAACCCTTACTAAGTCTCCTGATCCTCAAAGTACACCCTAGACCCTATACTAAACCCTATAAGAACCCTTTAAGGAGCCCTTTAAGAACCCCTACTAAGTCCCCTGATCCGCCAAGTAGATCCCAATCCCTAAACTAAACCCTATAGATCCCTTTAAGGAACCCTATAGATCCCTTTAAGGAGCCCTTTAAGAACCCTTACTAAGTCCCCTGATCCTGCAAGTACACCCTAAATCCTAAACTAAACCCTATAGATCCCTTGCAGGAACCCTATAGAGCCAGTTAAGGAGCCCTTTAAGAACCCTTACTAAGTCCCCTGATCCTCCAAGTAGACCCTGAACTCGAAACTAAACCCTATAGATCCCTTTCAGGAAACCTATAGATCCCTTTACGGAGCCCTTTAAGATTAAGATCCCCCTGATCCCGCAAGTAGGCTGCAGGGCAGGATTTGGGCAACAGCTCCGGGTGACTGTGGGGCTTCACGGATGGGCTCATGTCGGCTCAGGTTAGGGTTTAGGGTTTATGGTTTAGGGGTTTAGGGTTTTATGGTTTATGGTTTAGGGGGCTTAAGGTTTAGGGTTTATGGGGCTAGGAGTTTAGGGTTGGGAGGATGTCTGAGCCAGGTCGCGCGCAAGGAGGGGCTTCATGCCTTGTGACCTGCGTGGCTTAATTGGTGAGTTTGTCAGTTCTTTCTTGGGAAGACTCGCTCTGAGGTGCTGAACTTCGGGGGTGCGGTAATCACGTGAATTAGGGTTCTGGGATGTACTTATTGTACTATATAGTTACATTGGAGACTGTAGGAGGTTCCACTCCCAATAATTCGAACCCGTGAGCTTGAACAAGTTTAGATGGGGGGCCTTGGTGGCCCTGCACGTCATAATAAGCCTGCGCAAACGAGCAGTGCAACGAATGACAACATCGGAATCGCAGATCCTGGCTGCTTCGACTACCACTCATTTGCTAGAAATAAAAAGGTTGGTTCGACGACTAGTACTCATAGCCCTAAACCCTCAACCCTAAACTCTAAACCGAAAGCTTTAGCAAGCGTAGAAATAGGAAGGAACATCACGTGGAGTGCTCGGACTCCAGTTGTCGGTGTGCATTCTTATTCTGCGCTTGTGCTTTAGGATTTATGGTATCGGTGTTTAGGGTTTAGGGGTTGGTTTAGGACTTATAGGCTTAGGGGTTTAAGGTTTAGCGGCTTTGTTGGCAGTGAAGCTTGCCCAAGCGGCTCTACACGACTTGGCGCTTCGTTTGATTACAGAATGCCCAGCAAGGGGGACAAGAACATGTTTGTGCAACTGCACCCGAAACCGAAAGTAAAAGCTCCTCACATCCAGACGTGCACTACAGTCTGAAGGCCATGCTAAACGGAGCCTCTGTCCCTCGAAGCACTTAGTTTGGCAGACCAAGCATCCCAGCTACCAGTGCCTAAATCAATGAAGAGCTAGACGATAGTTGTACGGTATAATGTAGACAAATAAGGAGGTCAGCCTCTAGGCAAGTAAAGTAAACCTGCCTATCTCTCCGTTCAATACAGGGGCCTTAATTAGAGTAGGGTTCAAGTCTTTGAAAAGTAAAGTGATCAGGTACCCTTGTAGAAATGACACTGAAAATTATTTCGGCCCCTATGTTAAACTGCAGATGCATCGACGAGTTTGCGCTCGCACCCGACATGGAACAGAGTCGAAAACAAGCCAACCCTGTTTCTACGTAGTGCCATGCTGAGACTCGAAGAAGATGCACAAGTTGCAAATCCTCCGTTTTTTGGCGATACAAGCCCTGCGAATCTGTCGTCTTAAATTGAGCCAGGCAGCACGAAGAATTCATGGAGAACCAACAGCGAGATCGCGGTCAGAAGGGAGGTGATCACCCAGAAGGGAAACTTCGCCACCCTGGCTCTTCGGTGCAGGGTGTAGGTTCAGAGTGTAGGCTGCAGGGCCTGGGTGTGGAGATTAAGGTGTCGGGTTCAAGGGGTGATCAGCACAAGTGTGCAGATCTACGATTCTACGGGCTTTCATCCCTTCTGCCCCTAGGCTTATGACGTGGGGTGTCCAGCCACACACACAATCTAGCCAATAATTATTTTTAGAAAAATCATAGGATTTAAGTAGGTTTCCAGGGTTTGCCTGGATAGGAAATAAGTAGCCTGCGAATGGGAAATAAATAGGCTGCTAATTTGATGCTTTCCTGAAGGATTCTCCGGCATCTCTGACGTGCTGTTGGGACTGGACAGATGCGCGAGCACAACTTCATTTTCGCAATCTCTGGTTGATGCTTTGTTTGAGTACGGTGAGAATCGATGTTCAGGTCCCTTGTCGATACGCCGTCGAAGGACAAAAGAGCTCGAGAGCTGTTGTACTGAGTGACACAGTGGCGGGGGTCCGCATGGCGCTTCAAACCTGAAGCCGATCCATCACAAAATATCATCCCTGGACCTTTTCGTCTGCCTCCATGGCTTTCACCCCCTCCCCCCCCCCTCTTACCTGCCTCTATTTTTTATCTACTCCCAGCCTATTTTTTCCTACTTTTCCTCTACTTTCCACCTACTTCATTCCAATTCTTGGACTTCTATCCCCCTCTCCCCCCTCCCCCCTCCCCCCCAAAAGGGGGAGGGAGGGGGGTGGAGGGGGGGGCACCTCCTGCCAGGAAGCAAACGCTAGCTTACGGAAGCCAGAATAGCTGAGACACTTGCACTGGACTGCCGGGCTTCCATATCTAGATGTGCAATGCTTGTGTGAACGTATCTACACGTATCTCTGGTACTATGACATGCGCTAAACACCGCATGCACCCTGAATGTGAGATTTGGGCGTCCTCATGGAGGCATATTTGCAGGTCTGGATGCCTAAAACCCTAAACCCTAACTCCAAACTAAACCCTACCTAAAGGTCCATTATTCCCAAATCCTATCTAAATCCTATTTATTCCCTATTCTGCAGAAATCCCTGGATCCTATTCAAACCCTATTATTTTCCTAAAAATAATTATTTGCGACCACCTGGCGTCAAGCCACTCCCAACCTCATAACCCTAGGCTTTGTTGTTAGGCAAAACTGATTTATGCCCTGCAATTGACAATAGGTGCCGAAAAATAGGCCCAGATGATCAATCCTTGAAAGCAACTCGAACATTTCAGAGAACCTGTTCCCGAACACCATGCAGCCAAAGGCAAACGTCTGGTCAAGACTTGCCGTGATTCTTTCCTGTTTTAGATCTCCCAGAACGACTAAACCCAAAATACAAAAGGCTTGCACTGCACGCAACCCAAAAGCACGTCCAATACAGACATAAAACCTAACTCACAGGCAGCTGAAACTCTGACATGTCGCCTGGAGCCAAAGCCATCCACATCCACAGATGCTGATGCCGGAACAAGGATGGTGTCATCCACACTGTGCCTGGGCCGGAAGCAAGCTGTGAGGCGCAAAGTTTTCGGTTCGTGATATGATGCGGACATCTGCTTTTGCAGTAAACTCCTTTAAAGCCACCGTTTTCCAAGATGCTCCGTCGCTGGCTCCGTCACTGACTGCAAGACCTCCTCCCGGTGAACGATCTGAAGGTTCTGCTGGATGAAGCCTTTCTTGAAGAATCAAGCGACTTAGTTGGTACCAGTATAGGGCTTGCCTAGACCCCCCAAAAGTAGGTAAAATAATGGCCCAAAACCTATAAAAGGCTATTATTCTACAGACTTTCGGGGTCCAGGTGAAGGTGATTCTGGAAGGGTTCTGGATCTGAAGGTTCTGCTGGATGAAGCCTTAAGCAGATGTGTCTAAACCCAACCCTAAACCCCTAAACCCTAAACCGCTAAACCCTTTCTGCGTTCAAGGCTTTGGAAGAAGCCTTTAATCTATAAAAGCTCTTTGGGATGACAGCTCGCACAAAATGCTGGGCCCAAACCCTAGATTCGGTTTGGAAACAGAGCCGCAAGCACATTGAGGACCAAATGACACTTAAAAGTAGGGGTCCTATAAACCATATAGTATGAACCAGGACTTCATGATACTTAAAAGAAGGGGTCCTATAAGTCAATCCCCATAGAGTATGAAACCCCCTCTGGAAACTGACTTCAGGCTCTAAACCCTAAACCCCTAAACCCTATAAACCCTCGTCCATAAGGCCGAGGAAGGCAGGGCAGGGCAGGGAGGGCAGGGTAGGCAGGGCAGGGCAGGGCGGGCAGGGAGGGCAGGACAGTAAGGATGTTCCAACTGTCTGGCAGCATTTTAGGCTTGGGATAGCTTAGGGCAACAGGTAAAGGATCCAAAGGTTCAGGGAGACGCTTCAGGTCTGAGGGTTCAGGGTTAAGGGTTAAGGGTTTAGGGTAAGGCTTCAGGGTTCAGAGTTTAGGGTTTATGAAGGGTTTAGGGTTTAGTGTTAGGTCTGAGGGTTTAGGGTTTAGGTTTATGAGGGGTTCAGGGTTTAGGGTTAGGTCTGAGGGTTCAGGGTTCAGCAGTTGTTTCCAAATGTTGTTCCTAAATGCTGGAAATCACTCGGGTTTAGCTTGCGGCAATTGTACGACGGCTGTGGCAAACCGAAGAGTCTCAGAGACACACTAAAAGCCGCTGCATCATATACTAGGAGTCATACTAATACTAATTAACATTAGGGGCTAGACAAACTGATATACTTATGTGACTTAGGTTGTATGAAAACTTACCTTTGGTAAGTAGGGAAGGGCAGAATGGTAGTAATAGTAGTTACACCCCATTCCTCCATTCCCTACTAACCAAAAGGTAAGAAAAGGAGCGGGGGCAGTGCCCCAAGTTCCAGGGCTTAGGCGCATTCCGAACTCTTCATGGCCAGGTGGCTCGACTCTGCAGCCCACCTCAGTCTGTTCCCAGAGACTCCACTATCCCTTGATTAACTAGGGCTCCTTAAAAGGGTCCTTAAAGGGATCTATAGGGGTTCCTTAAAGGGATCTCAAGGGTTTAGGGTTTAGGGTCTACTTGAAGGCTCATGGGACTTAGTAAGCAAGGTTAGAAGTAGGTTATATTTAGGATAACCCCACTTAGGGGACTTATAACCCCAATTATAACCTACTAAGTCCCATGTTCCTCTAAGTATCCCTTGATTAAGGAACGTACCTTAAATTCTAGTAGGATCCCTAAAACGATTTGATTTAAGGAATATTCCTCTCTTGAATGTCAGTAGGATCCCTAATATGATTTAAGGAATATCCCTTAAGTAAAGGATTTTGGAAGTTCTGTGTTCCGGTGTTATATAATCAGTGGCTTCGGAGATTAGTGCCCGGGCAGGGAGAAGGCGAAACGTTCGTTTTCAGGATTATTAGTACCATTGTTATTGTTCTTGTTGCTATTGTTATGGCCATAATACTTATGACTATTATTATTAACAGCACCCTTTTAATTTTTAATATTTATCAACATTATGTGTATTGACCTGAATATCAGAATTACTAGTTGTTATTATGTTTCATAGTCCGGGGCTTAGAATTTTGGGAATATGGCGAAGACTCGCGCCCGAAACGTGGCCCTAAGCCTTGTACATGCAGGCTGGGACCCCAAGCATCAAGCCACAGGCTTGAAGATTCAATGCGGAAGGGTGTAGGGTTTAGGGTGTAATTAGGGCTTTAGGAGTTTAGGGTTTAGGGGTTTAGGGAGGGGTGTAGGCTTTAGGACTGCGCCACATGTTTCAGGGGTCCCATAGACTGTTTCTGCTAGCCTCACACGATCAGCCTCCCTAGCCCCTACGCCCGAAAACCCTGGAAACAAAACCTGCAAACCCGCAACCGTAAAACCCAAGATCACCCCAAACACCCTGAAAGGCTCAACGCTTAGCGCGCTTTGGCACGGGAAAACAAAACAGCGCGTCTATGTATTAGTACATGTTTGTGCCATTATTGCTACTAGCAGAATGGGCATGATTATGCAAATTCTGCCTGTTGCAGCATTATCATTCATAGCGACCCTTGGGGGGGTAGGGGGGTAGGGGACTATACTTCCTTAAATCAGCCTCATTAAGTCCTTATTACAAGTATTATGGCCCCCTACCCCATTCCCCCGACCCCTCTAAGGGTCCCTTTGATACTGCTGATGGACGAAATCCTGCGTTACCCATTATAAGGAAGATACCAGAATTCCCATAGTTTAGAGTCCTTAGGGTCAGGATTTTGTCCATCAGCAGTAGTAATTGTAATTGTATCCCATTCCTCCTTTCCCTACTAACCGAAGGTACGACTACCCCTATAGATCCCATTATAAGGGACCCCCAGGGTCATGCAGGATTTTGTCCATCAACAGTAGCATTGTCAGGATCCAGGTGCTCTTCGTCTTCGCAGCTTGCGCCGTCGCAGAGCTCTGCCGTCAGACCTGCCCGGTTCTTAAAAATGCGAACCCTCGAGAAAGCCGAAGTCCTAACACCTGGCGGCTTCGGGTATTACTACAGGGCCATGGGACACGTAACTAGGGCGATGAAGAAAGTAACTGTACCGAGCTGCTTAAGTCCCAATTATGGTACTTATAACTTATAACATTACTTTCTGAGTCTCATCATCCTCCAAGTAGAGGGAGTATACAAGGTTTCGGGTTTTGAGGGTGTGTATTTTTTGGGTCTTGTATGGCTACATAGGCCTGAGATGCCGTTCACGGTCTTTGCGAAAGATAACCCGGCGTCCGGAAGTCAAGAGTAATTTCTGACGTGACTTACCTTCGGTTAGTAAGGAATGGAAGAATGGTAGTAATAGCAGTTATAATTGTACCCCATTACTCTATTCCCTACTAACCAAAGGTCGGGGGATGACGGGCTCAAGACTGTGATTTAACGAGGTCGGCTCCTCCATGCACGGGTCTTGGGCACTCTGGGGTAGTGTGTCAACGACAGCGGCTACACTGCAGCCCAATGAGCAAAACATTCCAGGCAGAGCAAATCCGGCATGACAGAGACGAAATTAAGGATAGGAATAAAGATAGTAGCTGTAATGTCGACCTATAACGGCTAAAGAGTATAATGGCAGCCTTAGGAACAAGGAGTACTAATCATATTAGCAGGAATTAGTGATAATAATGGTTGTTGCTCAATCGGTCGTTTAATTAGGTATGCAGTGGCTTCCGTCAGCTGCCGTGGCTCGACTCCTTTGCTGCGAAGGGCTGCTTTGGTCGTACAGGGGATGGCGAAGGGTGCCGCCGGGTCCTGCTAGAAGGCTCCTGTGGACTTGCTTACAAAAATTTTCAGGAAGCAGTAGTTACGTGTTCCAAAAGCTACACTCTTCGCAAGCTGGCTGCGTTCGCCAGAGATGTAACTCAACAGGCCAAGACATTCCGTACAGCCTCCACTTCAACACATCAGAAGAGTCTACATCAGAACAAGAAGGGTTGACATGCAATGCAAAAAGGCTGTTTCATCATCTCACGAAAGCACAAGAACGATCACAATCCTCCAGCCGAGCCCTAAACCCAAAACCCCAAGCCCCAATCCCTAAACCCCCTACTTAACCCTACTAAACCTAAACCCCAAACCCTGAGCCCCAAACCCTGAACCCCACGGCCCCCGCAGGGCGCCTTGTGACAAGGCAAGTAAAGTGGCAACGGCCACAAGCGCTTGGGAGCCTCTGGGCATCGCAAAATAGGGGACCAAAATATAGTACCCTAAATGGCAGGATCCTCATTATGAAGACCCCTACGGTTGATGAATTCAATCCTGCATCACTCACAATAAGGAATAGACCATAGTTCCCATAGTCTAGGATCATGGTATTGCAGGATTTCTATTATCAACCGCAGGGTTTACACAATAGGTTGGCCCAACAAAGGCAGGATCCTAGTTTTGGGGGGTGGGATTCTGGAACACCCTACGGTTGATGATATAAATCCCGCATTACCTTAAGGACCCTAAACTTTGGGAATTATGGTACATTCCTTATTATGGGTAATGCAGGATTGAGATCATCAGCCGTAGTTGGGCATCCTCATGTTTAGGTTGTGCTTTGGGCCCCTGCTTAAAGGATCATGGGACTTAGTAACGAGGGTTATAAATAAGGTAACTATACTTATAAAATTTCTTATAACCCCAATTAGGGGACTTATAGCCTTACTTACTAAGTCCCCTGATCCTCCAAGTAGATACGGCCAGTGGATGTCTGAAGCAAAACAATCGGCCTAGGGTTTATAGGGGTGGTTGTCAAAATTAGGGTCCCTTTTGGGGTTCTTAAGATAATACGGCACCTAATATTTAGGGTACCCAAAAAGGGACCCTAATTTTGACAACTACCTATATAGGGCTTATGGTGTGGAGGGCTTGGGGTGTATGGGGCTTAGGTCTTAGGGTATCAGGTGTAGCGTTCCAAGGTTTGGGGTTTAGACTTTAGGGGCTGGGGGGTTGGGGACGGCTTAGGGTCATGTCATATAACTCCCTAAGGGTCCAAGTACCTAATAATCATATACTCTCCCAAATACTAACCTACATAACTACTATCCTAGAACCGAGTACCTGGTTATTGGGTCCTTTGGACCCTTAGGGACTGGTACACCAACCTCATGCCAAGCCCCCGGCGCATCGGTTCAGTCGTTTGCAAGGAACTTGGCCATCCGCCAAGCTACAGTTGGAGCCGATCCAAAAGGGGCCACGGTCAAAGGGGCCGGATCGCACATCTCGGAGGCCTCAAAAGGTGGGATGAAGGTAGGTAGGATTAAGGATCCCTTATACAAGGACTCTTGTTTGGGAATATCCCCCCTACCTTCATCCCACCTTTTGAAGCCTCCGAACCCCAGTCTGATGCGCAAACCCAAAACCCCAAACCCTAAACCCTAAAACCCTGAAACCCTAAACCCTAAAACCCTATACCCTAAACCCTAAAACCCTATACCCTAAACCCCTAAAACCCTAGAACCCCAAAACCTAAACCCACAAGATCTGAGGAAGCAGCATATTGCAGTTTAGACTTCCCTGTGTCAACTGAGCTGGTGGTCGGCCTCCTATGCATAGAGACCCCCTTAGGTGGGTAGGGTTTAGGGTTTAGGGTTTAAGGTTTAGGGTTTAGGGTTTGGGGTTTAGGGTTTAGGGTTTAGGGTTTAAGGATTTAAGGTTTAGGATTTAGGGTTTAGGGTTTGGGGTTTGGGGTTTGGGGTTTAGGGTTTAGGGTTTAGGGTTTAGGGATGCCCATAATAAGGACCTAATCAGGCCTACGTAAGGAAGTATCGTACCCTACTCCCCTCCCCCTTACGCCCCTAAGGATCCCTATGATCCTATGCATACTCCGCACCCTTCGGCAGCGAAGCATCTTCCATGATGTGACCAGCACACCGACAACCCCGATAGTCCATAATTGAGGAAATTTTGGAAGGTCCGGGTGATGCGGACGGCCTAGAGATAATAGTAACAGTAATAATAGTAATACGAGTAATAATAGTAATAATAATGATAATAATAATAACAATAGTTAATACTAATAAGAGCTCATTATCCATCCGACCCTGAGCTGAAGAGCAGCTTGGCATAGCGCTTTTCGTACCTCCCGTGTCGCGTCTGCGTTGTGCTGATGCCATTTGGCAGGTCCAGAAAGCCCAAGTATCTCCGTAGTATACACTTCACAGAGGAAGGACTTTGCGACGCCTATCCGGACCCTCTTCTTCGTAATTACCCTTAAATAGCCAGTAGTTAGACCAAACAAAGTGTCTAGGGAGAAAGGACTTCGAGCTAGCCTAACCCTAAACCGTAAACTCTAGACCCCAAGCTCTAGCCTAGACCCTAAACCCGAAAATCTAAACCCCAGCCCCTCAACACTAAACCCTGGACTATAAAGTACTAAACAATCTAGACCCTAAACCCTACAGAGAACCTGGGCTGAACTTCGTGCCACCCTGCGAAGACACAAGCTTGCCGACCCTTCCGAAACAGCGCTTGCAACGTGCTGTGAACTGTGCAGTCTGCCAGTTTTCTTGGTTGTCCAATACCAAAACTTAATAATCCCTAAACCCTAAACCCTAAACCGTTTTGCTATTGGGCAGGCAAGAAAACCGACTTCCGGCGTGGCGCTGCTGATGTGCTGTTCGGATAAAGACCTTAAGCTGCCATGACCAGGTTTTGTGGCAGGCTCCCTTTTATGTTTTATGAGCCGAAATATAGAGTTTATAGAGGCCCTACAAAAAGTGGGTTTCGGTAGTTATATACTGGTAGTCTAAGGGATGCTCTACGTCGTCTTCCGTCCCATGTCAAGCAAGAGCCCTAAACCCTAAACCCTAAACCCTAAACCCCTAAACCCTAAACCCCTAAACCCTAAACCCTAAACCCTCAAGCAGAACGTATTCTCTACGATGAGACCCCCCGGTCACCATCAAAGCCTTGAACCACGCAGATACTCACCATTCCCACCCTAGACCCAAGAGTAACCTAGGAATAAAAAGGGTGCCCTTTTTGGTTTAAAGGGGCTTATAAGGGAACCTGAACCCTAAAAAAAGGGAATAAGGGCCTACTCCAGGTCCTAGGCAAAGACTTATGGCTCGTTGCTCCTTTTGCACCCGTATCCCACAGAATCGACGACGCAAACAGAGACACTTGTACCGTAGAAGCCAGAAAGTTGGAATATCATTATCGTAACCCCTTTGAGGTCAAATATAGGGGATCCTACCATTAATCCATATTCCAACTTTCTGGAGTTCCTTTTACCCTGAGGGAGGTGAGACTGCTGCGGCCTCTCGCGTGCGGTTTCCCGAGGTTGTCTTAAAGGGCAAAGCTACGGTGTTGCTCGTAGGGAGCTACTGTGAGGGCCGTAATATACATAGTCAGAGAAGGGTTGGGGGATAATCATCCATTGAAGTATAAGTATAATCAGGAACCTTACGACCTTAAGGCTCGAGCTCACTCACTGTTTACGCCCCTATAGTATGGTTCAGGGCTGAACCATCTCCGGTGACTTTTGTCCTTCGGTGCTCTCCGGAGGATGTTGCTTATGTCTGAGAGGTTCCGGCAAGCAAGACAGCGAAACACCCGCTGAAATGACAACGTTGATGAACCACTCCGTTTTGGGGAATGTGGCTTTAGTTTGCTATAGCGGCCTTAATAATCAGAATAGGGTTTTGGGTTATATTACATTGTAATATGACCATAACAAGGAACCCTCAACATTGCATAGTATTTCTTAAGGCCTCTAGAGAAGTCTCTGATTACTTTCACTCCTCGGCCCCGACCCTTTCAACCTCGAATTCTCTAGGCGGGTGGTTGTCAAAATGATTGCCCCTTTTGTGTACTTTAAATCTTGGGTGCCGTAATATAATACCCTAAGGGTCCAAGTACCTAATAATCATATACTCTCCCAAATACTAACCTACATAACTACTATCCTAGAACCGAGTACCTGGTTATTGGGTCCTTTGGACCCTTAGGGATAAGGACCCAAAAAGGGACCCTAATATTGACAACCACCCATGCAGGTCCTAAACCCAAACCCCTAAAACCTAAACTGTGACTGCCAGTGTTCGTCTGCAATATAATCGTAATAAGGAAACCCCAAAATAGTATAGCAATTAAATAAAGCCCCCCGAGAGAAGGGCCTCGGGTCTCTGATTACTCTCGCTCCTCGGCACTGACCCTTTCAACCTCGAATTCTCTATGCAGGAGTCCTCGCTCACAGGCGCTTCCTGTCCCCAAGTATCTCTTTGGGATCCGGCAGCAGGCGCATCTCCGCCTTGCGTCGGACGGTTTAGGGGTTTAGGCTTAGGGTTTAGGGTCCTTAAACCCTAAACCCTAAACCCGAGGATCAGAGACTCCAATATCCCTCATTTAAGGAAGATACTATAGTAGGATGTCTAAGATGATTTAAGGAATATTCCTGAATTAAGGGATATTGGAGCCTCTAAGTGGCTTAAGATGCGGTAGGACCTCATTCCTGAGGGGCGAAATGAATCCTCAAAGGGCTGAAGGTTCAAAAACCATATGGGGATTCATGGTCTAGACCCAAGAGTAACATAGGAATAAAAAGGGTGCCCTTTTTGCTTTTAAGGGGCTTATAAGGGAACCTGAACCCGAAAAAAGGGGATAAGGGCCTACTCTGGGTCCTAGTGGTATAAGGATGTACAAGGGTCAAGTGTCCCATACCTTTAAGGGTCATTTGGTCTTTCAGGCTTCGGAAAACTGGGCATGGAGCCAATGAAAAAAAAGCGCTTGGCTTGACCAGCTGGTGGCAAAAACCCAGCCACGGAACCCCCAACCCCCAAAGATTACCCCTAAGCCCTTAACTTATCCTGTACCACGGTTGATGATATGAATCCTGCATTACCCATAATAAGGAACATGCCATAATTCCCATAGTTTAGGGTCCTTAAGGTAATGCAGGATGTATATCATCAACCCCAAAGCCCTAAACGCCAATAGATCCCTTTGAAGGACCCTTTATGGCTCCCTCAATAGATCCCTGTTTAGGACCTTTCAAAGGAACCCTAAAACCCTGAATTTCATATCATCAACCGTAAATCTGGGGCTTCCCTAAACCCTAAACCCTATAGACCCTAAACTCTAAACTCTAAACCGTACTTTTCCGAGCTCCGCCTTCGCAGCAGGAACGCGCGGGGCCTTGGCCAACTTGGAAAAAACAAGCTCGGAGGTCCGAGGGGCGTTTTAGGGTTTCGTTTTTTTTTTTCGGGTTTAGGGTTTAGGTTTTTTTTAGGGTTTAGGGTTTAGGTTTTTTTTGGTGGTTTAGGGTTTAGGGTTTTTTTGGGGGTTTAGGGTTTAGGCATTTGGGGGTTTTAGGCTGAGAAAGTCGTAAATTCATCTACTTTATTCCCATTGTTGTCATTATCCGCAGCTACCATAGCCTACTCAGGTGTAGGCTCTTACTACAATGCCTAATGAAGAATATTGGCATCCCCAAAAAAAACGTAGCAGGCTTTGGTAGTTTAGGTTTAAGATCGTGCTGTCTTATTGCTATTGAGTAACAGGCCGTCGAAAACCGCATCAGACACCAATTTGCCTTCAGGCTTACGGCACATGGACGTCCCAAGCTTTAGCCTAAACCTCACGGACCCAATCACCTTAAACGGGCCGGACTCCAAAAGTAAGGGTCGTGTGCCAACATACGATGAATTCATTTGAACCTTCCACCCCAATAGGGTTCAATTAATCCTCAAGGAACTCAATGAATCTATGTGGGGTGTGAAAGTTTATAGGGTATACGGAGCCAGCAAATCGTAACAAGCAGTATGCATCCGGCGTGACTTCTCAAGAAGGCGGAGGATTTCGAGCAACACCAGGCAATCATAGCCCTAATAAAATGAACGAGTACCAGCCCCTGACCCAAAACCCGAAACGCTTCCTTGTGCAGGTAGCGGGATGTTGAGGGTTCCGGGCTTAGGGTTTAGGGGTTAGGGGTTTAGGGGCTCTTCATGCTCCCTGCTGAGGCCGCGGCTGTGCCAGTGTTGTGCGCTCGGTAGATCTCCTGGGGCTCAGGTTGAAAAGCCCTCTAACACCCAGGGTTTAGGGTTCAGGGTTTAGAGATTATAGGGTTTAGGGTTCAAGGTTTAGAGATTACAGGGTTTAGGTATAGAGATTATAGGGCTTAGGGTTTGGATCTAGCCACCGAAACATGGGTTAGGGTCTCAGGGTTTCAGGCTTATCTAGACCTGCCCACCTCCTTCTCATGTTAGGGCCCGTATGCCCTCTATTGAGGACCACAAGGGCTTTCTCAAAAGGCTTTCACGGGTACTTGGGGGTCCTGGCAGGGTTTGGGGTGCAAGGTTCGGAGTTGGACAAGTTCGATTGAAGTCCCATCCTATACTTAAGTCTACATAGGAGGTCGCATGTTTCAGAGCTTTCCCGGGAAGAGAGCTGTTGATGCTAAACCCTAAACCCGCAATCGAAGAACTCTCGCTGCTCCGACGTCCCACCGTCCTGCACCTCCGTCATGAGCGCGGCCTCAGCAACTTGGAGGGCTTGGGGGTAGCTTCCCAAGAACCCTACCCCTGCCCACTGAGGGAAGCAGGAGACAATGCCGGCTTGGCCCATCTTCGCCCCATATGATCTACCAACCCTAAATCCTGAACCCTAAACCCTGAAGCCTGAACCCTAAACCATAAATTCTGAGACACGAACGGAACGCAATTCAAGCACCCAAACACCTTATAAACCCTATATATAAGCCCCATGCCTTCTCCTCGCGCAGCGTCTGCACCGCAGCACGGAGCTTCTTCATCTCTGCGTCGGTCCCTAAGCGTTGCAGTCACCGATCTAAGGGTCTTTAGGGTTTGAGGGTGTAGGGGGTCCTTTCAGCTATCTGCAGGGTTTAGGGTTTAGGGGTTAGGGTTTAGTAGGGTTTAGGAGTTTAGGGTTTCGGGTGTCAGTCTGCTTGTGCAAGCTCAAGACAACAACACTAAATAGATGTTGAAGTCTCCGGACTCCGTGATTGAGACCGCATCACCTTTTTGGGTTTATAGGGTTTCCGGCCCAGGAATTAACGCGCGGGGCTTCTCAAACCACAGCTTGTGCACGCATCCTGTGTTGCTTCCCCGCTCCATTGCTGTTCAAGCTTTCCTTGCTGGGGCCACCTGACCTGTTCAGTACGGGTGATGATATAAGCCCTGCACAAGGGTCCAGAGGACCCAATAATCAGGTACTCGCTTTGAGGACAGTCGTTATGCAGTGGTTAGGATGTTGGAGATTTTCTGTTGCCCATAACAAGGAATATACCATTATTCCATAGTATAGGGTTTATAAGGTAATGCAGGATTTACACGGGTGCATCCCCGCAAGCGTCCAATAAACTCCTATAGTTACAGCACCTAAGGAGTTGTATAGACCGCATGGGTGCGTTGACCTGTGTCAGGGGCCCCCAAGCGCTAAACACTAAACCTTCTAACCCCCTCACCCTTAAACCCTCAACCCAAACACCCCCCGGAACCCAAAGAAACAACACCCTAGATCCCCAAAATGAACCCTAAACCGTAAAAGCCCCCCCCCCCCCCTCAAAAACAAGAAAACCCTAGCTCTGAATCTGTTTTAACCCTAAACCATAAACTCCAAACCCTCCCATGTCGCAGGCGGCCTTCAGCTTGCTGCTGGAGTTCCACCGATTGCTTCCTGCACATGGGAGTTTCAGAAAATTAGGGGTACCCATGTTTTGGGGTCCTTATTATAAGGATCCTACTATTCGGTGTACTATATTAAGGTCCCCGGAAACTCCCACATTGCGGGCGCTTGGAAAACGAACAAGGCATGAAGGGTTTGGGTTTCGGGCTTTGGGCCTCGGATTTTGGGGGTTCTGGGATTTCGGATTTTGGGGTGCGGGGTTTCGTATGCCGGGACCCCCTTGGTGCCCTTTCAGTGGCGGGTTTACGACTCCTGATGGCACGCATCCAGGAATCTTGTCCCTCAGCCCGGCACCTGCGAAAGACTACTTGGAGGATCAGGGGACTTAGTAAGTAAGGTTACAAGTACCCTAATTGGGGCTATAAGTAATTACAAGTACGGTTACCTTATTTTTAACCCTAATTACTAACTCCCATGATCCTTTAAGCATGACCATGACAGCTTCGTCGTTCGAGCCGTTCTAGCCTGTTTCTCGTTGGCGGACGACTCGCAGCTTACTTGTGCAGACCCTCCGTCTACCCTCGACTCGACCCGAAATACACCTACCATTGGGGCCATAAAACCCTTCGCATGGCTATGAGGACGCTCCTGCTGTACTAAACTGTGAAACCCAAAGTCCTAAACCCTCAAAGCACTAACACCCGAAAGCACCAACACCTCTAAAGCACTGAAGCCCTAAACCCTAAACCCCTAAACCCCTAAACCCCTAAACCCTAAACCCTAAACCCCTAAACTCTAAACCCTAAACCCGAGCAGGAAGGGCCCGGGAAGCTTGAATCCTGATCCCCTTTCCCCTCTGCCTCGCAGCTTGCAAACGCTCCAGGGCCTCTTCCGTGTGGTTCATTCCCATGTGGCTGCGGTTTAGGGATTACCTGGACCCGAAGAAAAGCACGTTCTTGAACCCTCCTTATTGTGGTTTTCTTATACAGGCTTCAGGTAGGATTTTGCGGTCACGGGCTTAGGCCGAAATAGGCAAACAGGGCAACTTTCTCCCAACATGCCCCTGCATGTTGGCAACAGTTGTCGATTGCCCTTTGCTGCCGTAGGGTACCTTCCGGACTCTCACGCGCTTTTGTAGTGCGTTGTCCTTTTCATTGTGAGCGCTTCTACTTTGCGAGACTCCGGGGGTAGTCTTTTGCGGGTGATCGGGCTTATGTGGGTGTGCGGGTCTCACATTGGCTTTTACTGTGCCAGGAGACGGAGGCCGTAATGGTTTTGATCCGATGGGGCAAAGTGCAGACAATAGCAGCGCCGGAGTTGGAGAGCCCGGTACGCACTTCAACATACGTCCCACTAAAAAACCCTAAACCCTGTAAACCCTGAACATATGTCCCACTAAAAAACGCCACAATCCCTATATCGACGTGCCTCGAGTCGTTGCGCTTCGAGGGTTGGCTCCTTCCGCCCAGTTGTATAATAGGGACCAAAAAGGGGACACAATTTTGACCACCACCCATATATATATATATATATATATATATATATATATATATATAGGCCTTAAAGGGGTTCCTATGTAGGAAACGTGAGGCCCAAGTATAGACTATGTGGGCCCATCGAGCCTTAGGAAACTGTATGAAAGCAGAGGAGCACCACGGGACTTCCACATACTTCAACCGGGTTTAGTGTTGACGTCCACGCCGTGACGTGCACAACCTGGAGAGCCCAAGTACCCAAATAGTCGGGTTTTAGGTCCGCTTTACGTCGCCTCATGGCCCAGTGAACTAAACTTTCCCGGGAATCCCCGAAGCTGCAAGAAAACAGCGCAGTACTGATGGACAAAATCCTGCATTACCCATTATAAGGAATAGACCATAGTTCCCATAGTTTAGAGTCCTGAGGGTCATGCAGGATTTTGTCCATCAACAGTACCAACGTCGGGTCGGGGGATGATAGGAGCCGATACATTTCCCCTCATTCAGGAGCTTTGTAAACCCCAAATGTCGACGGACAATTGTGTGCGCAAGGCATTGCCCACATCAGGGTGTCGAAAACACCTAAAGCTCAATCCTCCCTTCCCCCTTCCCTTCAATTAACCCCCAAACCTTTCTAACTCTAGACCCTAAACTAAACCTTGACCCTAAACCATATGCCCGAAACCTTGAACCCGAACCCCTATAAGTCCTGAACCTTGATCCCTAATCCCTAAACCCTACACTAAACACCATGAACCGCAGACTCCAAAGCTTACTGCCCCTACGGTTGATGGTATAAATCCTGCATTACCCATAATTAAGAATATACCATAATTCCCATAGTCTAGGGTCCTTAAGGTAATGCAGGATTTATATCATCAACCGTATATATGATTTTGGAAAAAATTCCTGAACCCTATAAACCCTGAACCCCTAAACCCTTAATTAACGAGTGTAAGAGTTTCAGAAAGAGTCCTCCACTTCCAAGAGCCGCTGCCATTCGGCCTGAAAGCGTAATACAGGCAGCGCAGAGTAACCTGTATGGGTAAGGGGTCCCCGTTCTAGGCCTCCTTAATGGGGTCTGTAAGGGTTTCTATAAGGGTAGTTCTCTAAATTAAGATCCCTTTCAGGGTCCTTCCTTCCATGCCGTATTACATTTGGGAATTTGGGTTGTCGGGTTAAGGGGCCTAGGGGTTTAGGGTTTAGGGGGTAGGGGTGTAGGGCTTTCGGCTTTAGGGTCCAGGAGTTAGAGTTTAGGGGTTGTGGGTTTAGGGGTTTAGGGGTTCAGGGCTTTAGGCTTTGGGGTCCAGGGTTTAGAGTTTAGGAGTTGAGGGTTTAGGGGTTTAGGGCTTAGGCCCGCAGGCAGGTGAAGACCCGGCTGGCCCACCAGGTAGCCAATCCTGGAAGCTCTGATCAGGCATAGTAGGGGTCTCACTGGTCGGAATAGGGATTATCCTATGAGTGTGACCCATGAAGCCCTATAAGCCATATAATTCAACCCTAAGCCCCACTTAAAGGATCATGGGACATAGCAACTCGGGTCATAAATAAAGTAACTATACTTATACTTATTTATAACCCCAATTAGGGGTACTTATAACCTTACTTACTAAGTCCCCTGATCCTCCAAGCATGAAGCACTCAACCCTTAAAGTATAAATGCTCTCCGGAAGCCCAGAGCCGCCCAAACCCCGAAGCCTTCCATCATAAGCTCGAAACTACTTACCTTTGGTTAGTAGGGAATGGAGGAATGGGGCACAATTATTATTACCATTACTACCATTCTTCCATTCCCTACTAGCCAAAGGTAAGATTAAGGCGCTTCAGGGTCTCGGGTTCCGAAATTCAGGGTTTAGGCGCCTGAACCCCTCCCAGCCTTTGGGGTTTTAGGGGTCGCGGTTTGAGCATTTAGGGCCCATGGTTTGAGGGTCGAAGATCCCTACTTGAAGGCTCATGGGACTTAGTAGGTAAGGTTATAAGTAGGTTATCATTAGGATAACCCCACTTAAGGGACTTATAACCCCAATTATAACCCACTTACTAAGTCCTATGATCCTCTAAGTAGACCCTAAACCCTAAACCCCATAGACCCCTTTAAGGAACCCTATAGATCCCTTTAAGGAGCCCTTACTAAGTCCCATGATCCTCTAAGTACTTTTTGTTGCAACAAGCTGCCTCCCCCAAAGGGTCCTAGGCACGGTTATGGGGGGGGATACCTTCCCAAATCAAAATCGTACCCTAAACCCTAAACCCCTAAACCCTAAACCCTAAACCCTAAAGGATCATGGGACTTAGTAACTAGGGTCATAAATAAGGTAACTATACTTATAACTCCAACTAGGGGACTTGTAACCCCACGTACTAAGTCCCCTGATCCTCCAAGTATCTCTTGCAAAAGCAACCCTGGATTCTAATGTGTGGATACCCGGGGACTCAAAGGGAACTGGATGAAGCGACGTGAGCAAAACTTGGTCAGCATGCCCTGGCCAAATCGCTCTTGTCCCAAGCCTCATAAGCCTGCCTCTGGACCTCATAAGCCCGCCTTTGGACCTCTTAAACCCGCCTTTGGACCGAATAAACCCTGCCTTCAACTTGATGATTTGGCTGTTGCGTGACTCGATGTGGCGGTTCGCCTTCACAAAACTCTCGGGGGGCAAGACTTGGAGCACAAAAGGTCTGCTCAATGTAGGATAGCATATCTATACTAAGGAAGAAACGGAGACAGGGAGGTTATCACGGTTCTGCAAAGGTTGCAAAAAGGATTCTGCAACAGCTACTGCAAGGTCTGTCCGTGTAGTACAACAGAAAACTCAAGGTTACAAAAGGGTTACAACAGGGTTCTATAAGGGTTTCTACAAGCTTGCTATAAAAAAATGTGTGAGCGTTCGTGTCAGTGCTAAGCGCTAGTAGAAGAACTAGCACGAATACCCGCTTGAGCACTTGTGGGATGAGTATCGGCATGAGTATGAGTTCATCGTTGGTAGTACTGGTATGTCAGAATCTCCCCCTAAACCCTAAACCGTGGAGTTTTTGGGCATTCGGGGTTTTGGGGGGTCTGTCGAACTGACCTTCGAAAGGCTCTGGGCTTTTGCTGCATCCGACCTTCCCGGCATTTGGGCATTGCCGCTCGAACAGCGCAAGCAGATAATAAGAAGGAATATTTTTCTAGAAGGATAAGTATATGTATGTATATATATATATACATAATATGTACTGTAAAATGCAGTATTACAATAAAATAGAGTCAGAACGCATCTGCTCGGGTGCAAGACCGAAAAACAACCGGGAAAGGAACACATGCATGCTGCTCAGCAAGATCCGGTTTCATCGGGCTGGGAAACCTCTGTAAACTCCGAAAATCGGCACGTTCTCGACCACCTGTCCTCCAAGTAGAAAGCAAAGTACCGCCGTTTCAGGGTGTATAGTAGAGTGCAATCACGTTGGGACTCAGAGCGAATACTATTTCGAAATATTCCGGCTCCTGTATTCGCTGCATAAGGCAGCCTCGTCCGTGATGTTGTCCAACTCCGACTGCAGTCGCGCAACCTTCGATAAGATTGGTTTATGGCTTAAGGCCGAGGTGGACTCGCAAAAACCGAGGGTTTTACGTGAGGGTTTGGGGTTGGGGTTCGGGTGGATGGTTTAGTGTATGTGTGAAGGTCATGCAGGGCTGGTTGAACGGTCCTTAGACTGAGAAAAAGGGACCTAAGCCGCTTCACCCGAGCAAAGTTCGACAACTCCAGGCGATGGGACTCTCGTCAAGAAGCTCAACGTTGTTGTTGCTCGTCCCAATTGGACCGTGATGCCCTCACACGTGCCATGGTTCAGTATTGTGCTTGCTGCACCCGTCCCACTAACAAGAACATGAATACATGCACCTCGTGGTGCAGGATGTTGATTTCGGGATTTCGGTCTGATGAACCGGAGACTCAACAATACCATCCGAAACTGGCATCCTTTTTTGGTTAAGTGTATGACGGACTTTGGAACCATTGCCATGGAAAGCCCTGGGAAGCTGTGGAGCTTCATGTATTAGGTAACTCGCACGTCACGGTCCCACCCTGAAGCTGCACCCCGGAGTACTTTCTTCGAGCTCATAATCGCTTTACAACCCCAACATCTAAAGAGTAATCCCCAAACCGAAACCCTTATAGAACCCAACCCCGAAGACTTGAATAGAACCCCTCTAGAGACCTTAATGGAACCCTGAACGCAAAACCCAACCCCGAAGACTTGAATAGAACCCCTCTAGAGACCTTAATGGAACCCTGAACGCAAAGAAATTCACCCAAACCCTCAACCCCTAAACCCCAACCCCTATACCCTTAAGCCTACACCCCTTTAACCGCTTGACCCTAAACCCTAGCCGTGCCTCTTCCTCCCTCTGCTTTGCAGCCAACTTCTCCAGCTGGCGCTGGAGGTCGGATGCCTGGCACACTCCAAAAAAGCGTAGCTATGGGTACTCTGAAGGGTTTAGGGTTGGGGATTTCGGATTTATATAGTGTCTAGGTTTTGGAGTTTCACAGAGTTTGAGGTTTGGCATTGGGGCCTTGATAACTTTCGAGGTTTCGGGGTATATTGGACCAGACTTATAACTAGGACCAATTGTAAGGGACACGATTTGCGATTTCTTGCGACTGCTGATCAGAATATGCAGCGTGTTGTCCCGCAGTTGCATGAATCTTAAACCCTAAACCCTAATATCCTCAAAAACCCTAATAACCCTAATAACCCTAAAAACCCTAAACCCTAATAACCCTAATAACCCGAATAACCCTAGTAACCCTAAAAACCCTTAAAACCATAAACCCTGAATCATCAACCCTAGGCCCTAGCTCTTTACACTCCAAGGTCCTTGTGTTCGAGTTGTGGTCGAAGCCCTGTCAAGGGCTTATGGGGTTTCCTTTACGGGATCTAAGAAATCATATATATATATATACAGATATACATATATATGCTCACCCCCCCCCCCATGACAGACCGTCGTGGGGAAGGGGAAGGGTGGCGTGCGTCCCCAGGCAGGATCTGTCAACGGATAGGCGACAGACACTTCTCCCAAACTCAATTCCAAAATGTTCTTTTAGATGGTTTGCAATTTTTGGAAATTTCTTCACACGCATGCAGCGCTCCTAGTCCCAATCTTAATCTCAATTCTGCTCTTCGTACCACTATTACTGTTTGTAGATCTTAATTCTTGTATCAGTGTTAGCATTAGTATTAGTTTTGTGGTAGTATTGATATTAGGATGTTTAGTATGAGTAATAGTATTCGAATTAGTATTACTCTTAGTATTAGCATTAAGTATGTGTATTGATGTTAATAGTAGTAGTCGTCGTACTAGCAATAGTTGTCGCACAGCAGTAGTAGTGGTAGCATTAGTATTGGTATTTGTATTAGTATTAGAATGAGTATTAGTATTAGTATTAGTGACTAGTATGAGTATCAGTATTAGTTTTAGTATTAAGTATGTGTACTAGTAGTAGTAGTAGTAGTAGTAGTAGTAGTAGTAGTAGTCGTAGTAGTAGCAGTAGTAGTAGCAGCAGTAGTGGTGACATTAGTATTGGTATGAGTATGAGTATTAGAATTAGTAGCTAGTATTAGTACTAGTATTAGTGTTAGGATTAATATGTATTGTTCTTGGTTCTATTCTTAGTACTGCTGTCATTGTTTGTAGTAGTCCTAATCCTGGTATCAGTGTTCATATGAGTAATAGTTTTGTGGTAGTATTGATATTAGGATGGGTATTGCTTTAGTACTAGTATTGGTATTGGTATTTAGTATTAGTATTAGCATCAGTATTAGTATTAGTATTGAATAAAAGTATACATATCAATAATAGTAAATATGAACTCGTGATTATGTTCGTGCTGGTGTTAGTGCCAGTGTCGATGTCAATGTCAGTAATAGTACTCGTGTTAGTATTAGTATCAGTCTGAATGCTGGTTTTAGTATCTGTTTATTATTCACAGAAGTGCTGGTATTAGTATCAGTAATAGAAATAGTTTTGATATGTGAATATACTGATTGATTCGTACATTTTGAGCTTAATATAATAATACAGTAATGTATTCGAACAATAGTATATTTGCAGAGTTGAAGACTGAGCGAATACATTAGTACGTTGGTGCATGAGTACATTAGTATATTGGTGTATCATGATATTCGTATGTTAACGTAGTAGTATATCAGTATATTATTATAGTGGTCTATTACTACATTTACTATATTCGTATTTTCCCTAATAGCTTATAGGTATATCAATATGTTGGCATAATGGCATGTGAACATGTCAGTGTACTTGCCTTTTACAGTATTCGTATATTAGTACACTAGCATATTTAGTGATAATTAGTGTTGATGCCAGTGCCAATGTCGATGTCAGTTTTAATCAGTCTTAATGATGAATTTAACATCAGTGTAATATTCGCGGACGTGCTAGTATGCGTATCAATACTATAATTAGTTTTGATATATTAGTATACTGATAGATTATATAAACAGCTTAGTATACCAACACATTATAATGTATTCGAACAGTAATATGTTTGTATACCTGCATGTTTGTATGCTCTTAGTATATTAATGCATGCGTACGTTCGTGCATGAGTACATTAGTATATTGGTGTGCTATTATCTTCGATTATTAACATATTAGTGTATGAGTATCCTGGTATGCTACTTCATTTATCATATTCGTATATTATCTAACAACTTTTTTGGTATATCCATATGTTAGTATACCATTGCCATGTGTCAGTGTACTTGCATATTACAGTATTCGTGTCTTAGCAAGTTAGCATATCAATACAGTATAATCAGACGTTAACAAGTAGTATATTGTCACGTTGGAAACTGGGTATATGACAAATTAAATACGAATATACTACGTTAGTACACGAATGCATTGATATATTTGCTTTTCAGATAGTGGTATGTATATCTGCGGACATTAATATACGCAGGTGTCTGTTAGTATTGGCATTAATATCAATATGAATATGACTATTGGTAGGCGTAGGAGTATTAATGTTAATAATAGAATTAGTAATGTGCATATTCGAAATGAAAGCATTAATATACATGTCAACGTTAGTGTTAAAAGCACTACACAGTAATCTTACTTGAGTCATATATAGAGCAGATTCCAGCATTTCCAAAATTTCCCAAATTCTCTCCCCTAACTTTCCGGATTTCCAAAATTTCCAAAATTTCCAAAATTTCCAAAATTTCCAAACTTTCCAAAATTTCCAAAATTTCCAAAAAAGTCCGCCCTTATGTTTTGGAAAAATCCTGTCGACTAGGTCGGGAAATTTTGGAAATTTTGGAAATTTTGGAAATTTTGGAAATTTTAGAAATTTTGGAAATTTTAGAAATTTTGGAAATTTTGGAAATTTTGGAAATTTTGGAAATTTTGGAAATTTTGGAAATTTTGGAAATCTGGAAAGTTAGGGGAGAGAACTTTGGAAATTTTGGAAATTTTGGAAATGCTGGAATCTGCTCTATATATGACTCAAGTAAGATTACTGTGTAGTGCTTACTATGTAGTGTGTCAGCACAACCCTCATCCATACACGTGTGCTCTGTAATTCCTTTCTTGGTAGGACACCCGCGCGCCTTATCGTGCTGCTTTCTGGTCTCAGTCTTTTGGTGGTTCCAGGGATACGTTCGGAGGGCTCAAACTCGATACTCCGGAAAAAGCACGAACACGCCGGTGGGAGCGATGTTTCAAAGGGGATGGTCTGTCATGGGGGGGGGGGTGACCATATATATATATATATATATATGAAGGCTGTTGGGCCCAATATAAGGGTTTTGGGCTATTTTGATCCCTATAGGGTTAAGGGATCTGTAAGGGATCCATGAGGGTACTATGTAGGGTTTGGGGCTTGCTGCAAGTTTCATCTCGACCCCTACACCCTAAACTCTCAGCTTCGCAATACTCGCACTGGCACGGAAATACGCTGGTCTGCGTACATGGGGGGGGGTCTGATAACCAGAATTTGGTCTTGAATGCTCGAAACCGCCCTAAACCGATACTCCCAAATCCCACTTCCAAAGCGCTCAAGTAGACCTAAAACCTCAATTAAGACCGTAAACCCTGTTCAAAAGCCGATCCGAGATCTGAGGGCGCAACCTCGACGCTGAGGTGGCTTGGCTGCCTCCACCACGAACTGATTTATAAAGGAGCCCTTGAAGGAACCCTGAAGGGATCTATATGAGCCTACAGGATTTGAGGGCCCTATAGGGTTTATATGTTAGTTAAGGGCTTGGAAGTGTAGGGGTTCATTAAAGCTTAAACTCTGCAGCGTTTCGGGTCTTCAGTGTTCCTTTAAGGGTGTCCACCAGTTTTTCTATAACGGTTCCAATCAGGGCAACACAAACGGCCATTTTGGGTTTCAGGCTTTAGGGTCCATGGGGCCTAGAGTCGGCTTAGAGATTGTGCGATACGCCGTGGGGCTTGAGATCTATCTTTGTGCTTATGACTGAATTGACAATGTGTGCATACCATTGTCAATAGCTGCACTCGCACGTGCAAAACTTGAAACGTCTTAGGGATCACGAAGCAGCCGGTTGTGGGCCGTTGGGTGGAAAGCTTGGCTGTCTGTGCGAGTTTCTGAATCACGATAGTTCCAGAAGGCAGCCTTTCAGATTCGGCATGATAAAGGACCCTTAGCAACTAGAATAGGACCTTGAGTGGGCATATTATAACATCATGTATAAAGGAGCCCTCTTGAACACTGTTGGCAGTGAATCTGGCCCCTATCGTAGGACAACTGCAGCGAGATCACATAATGTAGTTCATGGTTAAGACAGTGTCGAAGATTGAAACTTCTATTCCCTTATTGCAATATGAGTAGCCATAACTATGTAAAGTGTTACCCAAGGGAGGGGCTCCTGCAACAGGTTCGTATTTAAGGATTTAAGGATCATCTACTATGACGGGCGGTATGAAGTTTTAGTGCAGGGGCCTTGGTAATTGGACTCAGGGTTGGGTGAAGATTTCAGAACATCTTGGTTGCTGGGTTCATAAGCCCCCCAAAATTGAAACTTTCAGTTTTGTAGTGGGTAATATTATCCCCAAAAGTGTAAAGTATATCGACTCAGCTACTAAGATAATGCATCGGGAGCCCTCCGGAACAAAAGCAGCCACATGGGTGGTTGTCAAAGTTAGGGTTTTTTTGGGTACCCTAAATAATAGGTGCCGTATTATAATAAGGACCCAAAAAGGGACACTAATTTTGACAACCACCCATATGAAGAGATGCTTCTGCCTGAGGCCCTTCACAAGGATCCTCACGAAAACCCCAAGCCCCACACCCGAAACCCCAAAAGCCCTAAACCCCTAAATTAAACCCTTAAGCCCTAAACCCTCCACCCGACTTTCCGAGTCTCTAAACCCCAAGACCTGGAGCCCTAGGGCCCTAATCCCAGAACCCTTAAACCCTAAACCCTAAGGCCGATACCCTAAACCCTAAACCTAAATCCTAAACCCTAAATCCTAAACCCTAGCCCTAAATCCTAAGCCCTAAACCTTAAGTCCTAAACCCCAAACCCGAAACCCGAAGCCTTAAGCCCTTCACAAGGATCCCAGCCCTGCGCCTAACGACTGCACGCTGCAGAAGGCTGCCGTCTGAGGAAGGAGCTTTGAGTTTAGGGTTTCGGGAGCCCCGAAAGTACAGTGACATCGGTTAGGTACGGCCCCCAGGTTTAGGGTTTAGGGTTTAGGGTTTAGGGCATACAGTAAGAGTCTATGATAGGGCTACGATTAGGGTCCTTCTATATCTGTATTATGAATATTATTCAACTATTACTGAGTGGGGGCCGTACCCAAGACATGGGGCTCCGTAGGGTTTAGGGAGTCTCAAAAAAGGTATTACGTAACTCCACCCCGACATGCCTGGATCATGGGCTACTACGGCGTTCGAGTTCGTTTATTTTGGGCTACATGCCCGAACCACAGAGCCCACACTCGCGAACGAAGCAACCTCCACATTCGAATCTATTCCGGTCGACGCCATGCCACTCAATGGTCAAAGACTCCAGCATTCCAAATCACTTCCTTCCTATAGACCCTCCATCTACCCTTCATTTGGCTTTGGGCCCTGACCCTAAACCCTAAACCGTTACCCCAAGGCTCAAAATACCCCAAAAGCCTTATATAGTATAGTCTTTGGGCCCAAAAACCTTGAAACATGAGTCCTTAGAGCCTAAGGGTTGTAAATACCTACCATTGGGGGCCATACATCCCTAATTTCAGGGCACAAGGCGAGTCCTCGCACAGTCCTAGTCCTGTGTTGTTCTGTGAGCCCTGAACCCTAAACCCTAAAACCCTCCAGCACCCCCAAGTAATCTTTAAAGGGCTCCAATATTTCTCATTAAGGTAATTAGGGACTACAATAAAGGGTAGTTGGGGGGTCTAGGCTACAATTTAAACCCTAAACCCAAAAACGCTAGACCGGGTAGACTAAACCCGAAACACTGTCGCTGGCAGGCGCACTCCTTTCGCAGAAGTCGAAGTAGGCCTGTCCCGAAGTGAAACGGTTGATGATATAAATCCTGCATCAACCATAATATACCCTAACTCCCATAGTCTAGGGTCATTCAAGTAATGCGGGGCTAAGGGCGTAGAAAGTTCGGGCTAAGGAGATAAGGAGCGGACCTGCACACCATCAAAACTCGTAAAAAGCAGTACTTAGAGGATCATGGGACTTAGTAAGTAGGTTATAATTGGTGTTACAAGTCCCCTAAAAGGGGTTATCCTAAGTATAACCTACTTATAACCTGACTTACTAAGTCCCATGAGCCTTGAAGTAGGTGTTTCCGCAACCAAGGTACTGATCCCATGCTCCGAGAGGCTGGTTCTGACGGTTTAGGGGGCTTAGGGCTTTTGGTGCTTCACGATCTTGCGAAGCACGGTAGGGTCCTAATGAAGGCGAGTTGCAATCGGGAAGCCAGCAGGAACCACACTCTAGGAGTATTTATTTCTTTACATCCAGCAGCAAATCCCTGGGCATGAGGCTTTCCGGCTCTATCGGTTATGAAGGCAGGAGTTGAAGGTGTCGGAATCAACACTGCAAACCTCGCCTTCACCGTCTGTACATGCTGCGCATGGGAAACGAAAAGCGGATCGTGGTAGAAGGCACGGTCCTGTCGTCAAGTTCGAAGGTTTCTATCTCAGGATTGCAGGCGTCGATTGAAGTGAAAAAGAAATGCCTCTGCAAGAGTAATGAATGGCCTGGTAACAAAAGCTTCCAAGCACTCGTAAACGGTGAACAAGCTTCCACAAAATCTTTTCAGCCCTTTCAGTGCCACAAACACCTTCTAAACGGCCATAGATCCCATAAAAACCTGACAACACAGCACCTTTAAACCCTATAAACAAATACAAACACTTGTATACCCTCCCAAACCCTTCAAAAGCCTTCTTCACACTCTGGAGAACACCTGTTTTTACCTTTTTTGTTTTTTTTTTAAAGTGTGTTGGGGCCTTTAAAGACCATGGTTTCGGATATGGGTCGTGGACCGACCAAACCTGCCCAGTGAGCCGAATATGCCCTGATTAATGAAGGAATAGACCCGTTTAGGGTTTAGGGTTTAGGGTTTAAATTAGGGTTTAGGGTTTAGGGTTGAAGGGCTTGCTACGGTAGCAAAGGTCTCTGGAAGGCTGCTTCGGGAAGGCTCTGATTCATGAGTATACCTTAAACTCATAGTCATACAACCCTGAACCCTCAACCCTATAATACCCTAAACCCTAAGCCCAGCCCTAAGCAACAACACAAACTATATCAATACTAAGCCCTAAACTAGAGGTTAGAAGCTGCCCCCACCCTGTAATAGTGACTATAAGGATTATATTCGGGCCCTATTCTATTCCTATTATACCACTATTACAAACCCTAAACCCTAAACCCTAAACCCTAAACTCTAAACCCTAAACCTAAACTCTAAACCCTAAACCCTCAACCCTAAACTCTAAACCCTAAACCCTAAACAACTCTAGGGCTCCAGGATCTCTAAGTCCATGTTTCGGCCGTAGCAGCCGCACGAGCTGACCGGAGCTCCCAAAAGCCTTTAATTACGGAGTATTCCTTACATCATAGTAGGGATCCTACTATAATTTAGGAGAGGAATATTCCTGAAATTATATTAGGGATCCTACCACCAAGACGTAGAGGGAGCTCCAGAAAGTTGGAATATGGTTTCAGGGCAGGATACCCTATAATTTACCATAAAGGGTTTAGGATAATCATATTCCAACTTTCTGGCTTTTACCTCAATTACGGAATATTCCTTAAATCATATTAGGGATCCTACTATAGCTTAAGGTACATTCCGTAATTAAGGGATGTCGGAGTTTTTGGGCTTGTCGGAGTTTATAGTGACCCTCAGAAAGTTGGAGCATGGATTGGTTAAGGATGATGAGTTCGGGGATTCCATAAACTCTATCTTAAGGGCATGAGGATACATGATGATGTTTCTTTCTGGCTTCTACTGCAGGGATTTCAGACATAGGACCTGGCTGGTGTTAGGCTTTTGCTACTACTTCCATGTTCGGCACCTGCAGTGCAGACTCCAAAAATGACTGTGAACCCTTAAACCTTAAACCCCTTCACTCAACCCCCGCAAAACCTTCCCAACCCTAAAAGTACGTCCGAAAACCCTCAACCCTAAAACCCTGAACCCCAACCATAACCCCTAAACCCTACAGGAACGCCAAACCCTGAACTCTACAGTTGATGATATAAATCCTGCATGACCTTAAGAACCCTAAACTATGGGAATTATGGTATATTCCTTATTATGGGTAATGCAGGATTTATTTCATCAGCCGTAGGGGTCCTTCTCGGAGGCTATCCACTGCGAGGGCTCCACGCTGACTTCTGTGAGCGAGATGCAGATTCTCGGACCTGAGAGCAGGAACTGAGAATGTATCATACCCAGAGGCCCCATAGTTTGGGATTACCTCAGAAGGTTCTCAATATGAACCCCAAAAAGCAACTACTATGGGGCCTTAGGGTAATTAATCATATCAACTCCCGAGCACTCTACACCATCACAACTATTTCAGGATATTTCGGGGATCTTATCCAGTGCTAGGACGGGAATGTTTTAAGACTAAGCGCGAGTTTCAACCCTGGTCACTGTTTAAAGACAAGGGCTCTCAAACAAGGACTCGGGGGTCTAGGCATGTGTTTCAAAACAGCTGCATGACGTGGCTGCGAAAGTATCATTGACATCCTCGTTCCCTCAACAATAGTTCTGGTGTTGACTTAGGGGGATGTCAAGGGTCGAGTTACCGCTCCTCGATATCGGGCCGCTTCTAGCTTCGATCCCCACTAACCTCGGACCTAGGATGAAACTTAGAAGCTGCCCCCACCCTGTAATAGTGACTACAAGGATTGTATTAGGCCCTATTATATTCCTATTGTACCACTATTACAGGGTGGGGGCAGCTTCTAAGATGAAACCTACTTGTCGGGTATCATGGGGAACTCAAGGTTAACCTTTTTGGCTATATAGGGTTTTTCTTTATAGGGACTAGACGATCCAAAACATGTTAAAGGTTACCTACTCTACTACTAGGGAAAGGGGCTCCCTTTTTGGCACTGGGCAACTTTACAGGACATCGCAGGCCGTAGAAAAGTAGGTCTTCGACTGCAACTGGTCGGAAGCAAGTTCAACTCTGTGTGTTTAGGGTTTAGGGGTTTGGGGGTTTGGGGTTTAGGGGTTAGGGGTTTAGGTTTAGGGGTAAGGTATAGGGTTTTAGGGTTTAGGGGTTAGGGGTGTAGGGTTTAGGGGTTTGGGGTTTAAGGTTTAGGGTTTTAGGGCATCCTGCAGCAAAGGCAGGGGATATCAGAAGGATTACGTAGAGAACGGAAGCCAGTGCGTGCTTCTTGGTGGGGTGAAAGGTCTTGAACCCATTTTCTGGGTGGTTCAGGCCTGAAGCCTATCCCCCAACCCCTAGTCCCTAAACCCTGTCGACACAAAGGCCCATCTCGGGACGAGGCTGTGCAAACTGGCAGAAACCTCCGAGAATGCCTCTGTCAAAGGCTTGGCTGTGCTTGAATAGGGTTTAGGGTTTTGCGGCTTCTGGGGAGGTTTACAGCTTAGGGCATGTTAGGGCTGAGGACTGAAGGCTGTGACATTAACCGTCACAGGAATTGGGAAGCAAACGAGTCAAAATCAGCATGATGCTACCAGCAGTTCTGCATCATGACAGCACACCTTAAGCTTCGCGGCTTCTCCCACTGCAGCCCAACAAACCTGCAACCAAGAATCTCGGTCGCCATCCCAAAGCGATGAGACAAGGCATGCAGCGACTCCGTAAATCTTTGTCGGCAGAGCTAGTTTCAATACAGAAACTGGTTGATGGGCAGCAGAGGTTCAAGCTAAGCTGGTGCTTCTAGGGGGGGGGGGGAGAACGGAAGACACGGCAATGAAACTGAAGGCAACGACGAGGGGAGGGTGAGAAGGGTATTTATGTTGAACGCTAGGTGTCGATTCCAACAGTCCCCCAAATCGCTTGATGCCAACAGTCCCCCAAATCATTTATACGTACGGCTCAAAATTAAGCAGAAAGGGAACTTCAAAATCATGGCAAAGCGATACCTAGTCTAGACCCAAGAGTAACCTAGGCACGAAAAGGGTGCCCTTTTTGGTTTAAAGGGGCTTATAAGGGGACCTGAACCCTAAAAAAAGGGAATAAGGGCCTACTCCAGGTCCTAGTAGTAAAGGGTTGAGGATTGAGGGTGCAAGACTCTCGGCTCGAAGGAAACACAGATACCTGGTTCTGGGGAACCCCGGCTCGACGGAAGCGGTCGGCAACCTGCCCAAAAAACACATGAGAATTGCTCTGCAGTGTAGGGCGTAGGGCTTCGAGGGTTTCTGGTGAAAACAGGGTTATAGGAATTTAGGGTTTATGGCTTTTTGGTCTATAGACATCCAACACCCTCATACTCACTTGTCGAGTATCCTGAAGGACGTGAAAGTGAACCTTTGGGATTGTATGGGGATTATATTCTAGTAGACGTATAATTGAAACCCTGAGAATAGTATCGGTATTTTTTACTGCCTCTATATTGCATCCCACATCCGAAAAGGACCTCCTAACAATAGATCAAACACTGTCTGGTGCTTAGTAGGGAATGGGGGACTCGATCCCTGTAGCAGTCCCCATATAATCCCCAAGAATCGTCTCCATAATGCATTCCCCCATTCCCTATTAAGAGCCAGAAAGAAGAGGTTTAAGGTTGCCTACTCTCCACTCTTCGCGTATTATCAGGGTGGACTTGGGATTTCAGCACCTTGGGCCCATCACATCACATGTACTCAAAGGGTCGTGGGATTTAGCTAGAGTCTCCATTGTGGTTCGTTTTTTGGTTGACCGCAAACTGTTTTTTCGGATCTTAACCATAAAACTGGTTAACCAAAAAAAGGAACTACCTTGGAGGCTCTAGGTACTAACTAGGACTTCCTTAAAGGATTCCTTAAAGGGATCTATCAGAAAAATTTGGAAGGGGGGTTGTTTCCTTAAAGTGTTAAAAGGACCTATAATTATAAGATATTATAAGGGTCTATAAGGGGGTGGGGGGTACTTATAGGATCATGGGATCTAGTAACTAGGGTTATAAACCAGGGAACTAAACTTAGAATCACTTGCAGCCCCACTTATATCCGTCCTCTCTACGTCCCCTGATCCTCCAAGCACTCCTCCCCCGACCCCCTGGCAGCAGCCTGGCTGCGGGACTGGCTGCCGTAAGCTGACCAGGGATCCAGGAGCAGCCAAGTGTAGTAAATGCAGGGCCCGCAGATGTCTAACCTTGGGACTTACGAAGCTTTAGGGCAGGGAACGAAAACCAACCAAAACAGCCCTGGACTTTGCGACAGTTTCGCCATTCACGGTAGCCTGGGACTTTTTGCAGTTGAGGATTATGTCCTTCACAAACGCTTCCAGCAACGATGTAGTGAAGACCCAACCATTGAACCCGTGGTTTTCAATCATTTCGGCTGCCGGAGTATGGAAGGCCAATAACTGGATTCTACCCCACCCCACCCTACCCTACCCTACTACTACCCTACCCTACCCTACCCTACCCTGCCCTACCCTACCCTACCCTACCCTACCCTACCCTACCCTACCCTACCCTACCCTACCCTACCCTACCCTACCCTACCCTACCCTACCCTACCCTACCCTACTACTACCCTACCCTACCCTATGTCTCAAGCAAAAGCATTAAGGCGCCAGAATTATGGCATCGGGGACCAGATCCAAAACCCTATACACCTCACTTGGAGGATCAGGGGATGTAGTAAGTATGGTTGTAGGTATCCTCATTGGGGTTATAAGTAGTTATAGACATAGTTACCTTACTTATAACCCTAATTATTAACTCCCGTGATCCTTTTTACAAACCCTAAGCTCTGACTAAGCCCTAAACTTTAAGCCCCTGTATGAGCGCTTCGGGGAATAAGCCTGCTTCCTGAGCACCCGTGCATCTCGCGGATGGGGATGGAGATCTGCCCGATTGACCGGTCCTGCAGAAACCCCCCTCCAAAAAAAAGCAACAGAAATTCAAAACAAGTCTCTAGTATATAGGAGCCTTAAATAGTAACTAGTCAGATCAATAAGGAGGTTTGAGCACTCGCGGCATATTACAGCTTCAGCCTTTAGCAGAACTAGGAACCCCAAAGACCAGTATTCCTAGTCATTCAAGCTTCAATATCACGTGCAACGCGACTTCAAGCACAACTGGGACGCGGAGGGTCTTGGTCTCAGCAGAGATGTGGTTCGTGCAGAGCAATCTGACACTGGAGGAACCTGAACCTGAAAGCTCTGGATGCTTCTTCAGGGTTTAGGGCTTAGGGTCCAGGGTTTAGGGCTTAGGGTTTTAGGGGTTATAAGGGCTCACAAACTTTGGAGAAAAAAAAGCTTCTCTACCGCCCACGAAGCATCTCTCCTGCACGGAATTGATGCATGCACAAACCCGAAAAGCCCTGGTCCAATCTGGCTGCAGGTGGCAGATTCTGTCGGCTTCATCAGCGAAGGGCTTCTGGTTGCATGCAAGCAGGAGCAGGAGTGTGGCAGGAGCTGCGCGGCTCTTGCCAAGCAGGGCTCCGGCCTTACTTAAGGGATCATGGGACTTAGTTACTGGGGCTATATATAGGGTAACTATACCTGTAATTACTTATAACCCCAATTAGGGTACTTATAACCTTACTTACTACGTCCCCTGATTCTCCAAGTAGAGGCTGTACTGCTGACTGAATTCTTGTTTGCACAGCATCTCGAGGAAGTTGCGATGGCCGGCTCTGCCAGTGGCCAACATGTCCGAGGTGATCTGACTGTAGTCCATTGTGCGCACATTCCAAGGTGCGGAGGATTTTCTCCAGCGCTTTGGCGAAGCCGGCTGGATGATCTGGCAGCCAATCCGGAACCGAGGCATAGCAGCAAGCCAGTATTAATTCGCAGTAGAATGGGGCTTCGGGTATCTTGTGAGTCACTCTAGACCTTGGAGGACCCTTCTGATCCCGTGAAGGAGTACCCTCGTAACCCTTCTTCTAGACCGCTGTTGAAGAATTCTAGATCCCTTTACGGAACCCCCTAAACCCCAGAGTATCCCCTATAGTTCTGTTTAAGGAAACCCCTGAATCCCATAGTATCCCCTATAGTTCCCTTCATGGAACCCCCCTAAGCCCCAGAGTATCCCTTATAGTTCTGTTTAAGGAAACCCCTAAACCCCCCTTATCCTCCCCTTCAAGGAACGCCCTAAGCGCCCACAGTATCCCTTATAGTTCCCTTCAAGGAATGCCCTAAGCCCCCACAGTATCCTTATAGTTCTCTTTAAGGAACAAAGAAGCCCCATGGTATCCCTTATAGTTCTCTTTAAGGAACCCCCTAAACCCCCATAGTTTTCCCTTGTAGCTCCCTTTTAAGGAACGCCCTAAACCCCCATGGTGTTCCCTTGTAGTGCTCCCTTTTAAGGAACCCTAAACCCTAAACCCTACATCCTAAACCCTAAACCCTAAACCCTACATCCTAAACCCTAAACCCTAAACCCTACATCCTAAACCCTAAACCCTAAACCCCTAAGCACCGGAATGCGCAGATTTTTCCCTGCAAGCCTCCGCGCTGTTTCCGCCGCGTGAGTGCAGGAAGACTCCTGGGGCCGAAGGCTCGGAGTCGGCTCTGGGATTTTACCCTGGGGCTCCGGTTTAGGGTTTAGGGTTTAGGGTTCAGGATTTTAGGGTTCAGGGTTTTAGGGTTCAGGATTTTAGGGTTCAGGATTTTAGGGTTCAGGATTTTAGGGTTCAGGATTTTAAGGTTCAGGGGTTTAGGGTTCAGGGGTTTAGGGCTTTGGATATTTAAGACTTAGGATTTTACACTGGGGCTCCGAAGAGGTCTCTGGGGCAGGGTTTAGGGCCATGGTTTAGGGGAGGGTTTGAGCTTTGGGGGCTAAGGTTTGGGATCTCACTACGAGGGTGCAGGAGCAGTAGGGTAGGGTCTTTTTTGAAAGTGCAACGGACTTTTGGTGTATCTCAAGCCCGCCCAATTGGGCGTGCACTCCAGAAGGAAAATAACACCTCAGAGAAGAAGTCACCCTCGTTCAGGATCAGCAAGGGGCTTAGGGTTTTGGATATTTAAGCTTTAGGATTTGGGGTTTTAAGGTTCTTGGATTTTAGGGTTTAGGGGTTGGGGTCGAGGGCTTTGAGTTCAGGGTTTGGGATTAATTGGGGTTTAGGGTTCGGAGGTTGGGGCTCAGGGTGTAGGGTTAAGGGTTTAGGGCTCAAGGTTTGGGGCCCGGGTGTTAAGGTTCGGGGTTCAGGGTTCAGTGATTACGTTTGTTTCTTGTGTGTTTTGAGCTCCTTTTCACTATAACCTCTGCCGCCTAGGGTTCAGGCTTTAGGTTCGGTTTAAGGTCCAATGTTTAAGGTTAAGGGTTTAGGGGTTTAGGGCTTAGGGCTTTGGGTTTATGGATTGGGTTTAGGGTTCTTGGATTTTGAACACCATACATCAATTATTGGGGCCTTAGCAATTTGAATTGGGTTCCATTACAAATATAGTGTAGGGGTTTGGTATAAGATCTCTAATCACTTTTATAGAAAATCATGAATAACAGCCCTGAGGAAGAGTAATGACAATTATTTCTAAACCCTGAACCCAGCAAGCTCGAGCATTAAACCTTTCGGCTTATTGCTAGAGATTTCTTGGATTCGGGTCGAAAGCGCCGGCTTGTTGAGGTCGGCATCTTGAGGAGGGACTAATTATAGGGCTTATAGGGCTTACCCCTAACCTACATAACTACTATCCTAAAACCGAGTACCTGATTATTGGATCCTTTGGACCCTTGGGGTTAGGGTTTAGGGCGTATAGAGTTCAGGATCCAAGGCACCATGTCAGGGTGGTTGGGTTTAGGGTTTAGGGTTTAGGGTTTTTTTTTTTTTTTAAGGTGCAGCGGCCCTTTTCTGTGCGATAGGCCTGCCTCATAGAGGCTTGCACGTCAGAAACAACCCGAAAAAAACTCTCACTCGGCATCACCGTGCAGTTCCCCAACATGGCTGAGTGCACCCTTGTGGTAGTCGTACGGCCCCCACGTTGCTGAGTACACCTTGTGTTTCATCCCTCGGACTGAGACTCCATGTGGATTCCAACACGGCCCTCATACGGATCCTGTTCAGTACGAGGAGGCTCCCCAGGAACAGGAGGAAGAGCGGGGTCAGGTAGAGCAGCACGTACTTGTAGCCCAGCGGGATCCTGTTCGGTACGCGGAGGCTCCCCAGGTACAGGAGGAAGAGCGGGGGCAGGTAGAGCAGCTCGTACTTGTAGTCCAGCGTCGGCAGCAGCAACAGGAGGAACGTCTTCAGCACGAGGGTCGACAGGCGCATGGCCACCATCTCCTTGTAGAACTGCAGACACAGTCGTTTCACCATTGATCACCATCCCAAGGTCAGGGCTACTTCCCACAGTAGGCGGCAGAGGCAGCGAAGGACGATCACCCCCAGAAGAGGAGGCTTGACTGACAGCCGGTTCTCCAGGAGGTAGTGCAGCACGAACAGGTAGAACCGAAGGCTGTGGTACAGCAGGAAGTACGACATTTTCTGCGGGTTCTGCGGCAGGAGGACGTTCACCCCGTTGAGTGGCTGCAGCCCCGGGGCGTCTTGTTGAGCGTGAGCGCGACCTGCTGCCACGTGGAGCCTCCCGAGTGGCCCTGGAGTGCCCAACACCATCCTCAAGTGGTCCCACCATCCCAAGAGAGCCAGGGGGACATCCCGTGAGCTCACGTAGCGCCGACTCAAGTTCCTTCTCGAACGACTTCACCACGAGGAACTGGAACTCGCTCATCCATGATGCGACCCTCGAGCGTAGCGCCCCATAGGGTGGAACACGCTGGCTGGGGTAGCTGCACATCACCGCGCTAGGACGAACTCTCGCCCCCAAGATCCGCTCCATCCCTTGGGCGACGATGTGTGCACTGGAGGCAGCGTCCAGGACTTGCTGCACACCCCATCTGTACTCTGCACCAACGTCTCGTTGTTCTTGCTGTTCCAACCCGCGCAGAAGTTCACGAAGTGCTCCACGTAGCTCGTCGCACACCCCTAACTCGTCAAGCTCGTTCTCCTCAGCAGGCGTAAGTTGCATCATGATCGTTGCATCCCCTTCAGCGCTGACGTCCTCGTTGTCGTTGGTGGGAGCCCGGTCACCGCTTCCTCTTGCACCTTGTGTGGGAACATCCCCAGCATCAGCGTCTGCATGAGCGGCTAGATTGTGTCCACCGCCCCGTTGTCGTTGACGCGCTCGTTCCACCATCGCTCTCGCCCTGGATCTCGCGGTTTCTAAAGCCAAGGCGACCGTGTTCGTGTTCTGAGCGATCATCATCCCAGGTGCAGGAAGATACGGGGGGTCTCCCACATCTGCCGCCTGGAGCCACACGTCTTGGAGGAGCCGTTGGACCAGTTGAAGGTGGAACGCCCCGAGCACCTTCTGGAAGCCGGCGAAGCCCACGCAAAGTCTACCTCTCATCCCAAGGTCTTCCGACCGCTGTTCATTTTCACCCCCGACACGACGGAAGAGGATGTCATGTACGAGGTCAAGGGTCGCCTCCGACAGAATGAGCGAGTGTGCCCACTGTCCCAACGCCCAGGACACAGCTTCCACCCCAGCTCTTTCACGGATATCCTCGAGGTACAGTAGAAACTCCCGGAGGTCATCGACGACACCACTGTCCCACCCCAGTTCCATGAGCTCATCTCGTTCATCAGCGGTGAGTTGGAAACTCTGAGCCGGTGGCTGTTCTTGGTCATCCCGAATGGTGGCATTGGATCCCTGCTCATCTTCATCGCCAGAATGGTCATGTCTGTGAGCCTCATCATCGTCACCATCCCTGGCACGGCCCGTCGCCCCAGTCTGCATCATGGCCACTTCGTCCTCCACAGATTCCAGTGTCCCATCTGCTCGCTCGTCCCCACTGCTGGAGGGAATACTGGCACTCGAAGACTGCGAGGATGTCGTCCCAGGCGAAGTCGTAGAAGACGTAGAAGTCGTGGAGGAGGTCGTAGATGGCATAGTCCAGGAAGGTCGGCAGAACGAAGTGGTTCCAACCCTGAGCATGTTGACATAGTGCTCAATCTCAGGTAGGCCAGGACCCGACCAGTCGACTGCAAAGTGGCTCCCATCGAATCCCATGTTCCGGCACTGAGCACGCCCCCATTCTCTCCGTTCGTCAGCACTCCACCACGGCGAGGTCCACGTCGGGTTTAGGGTTTTAGGGTTTAGGGTTTAGGGGTCGGGGTGGTTGGGCTCATGCTAAGACTGTTTGAGTCAAGTGTGTCAGCTGCGAATGTGGACGGCTTGGCTTGGGATTTTCATATCGTCAAACTCAAGATGCTCGCCTTGAGGCCAAAACTAATCCAAACCATGGCTGGGAGTGTCCATGTAATTACGTTAGTGTGCATACTACCGTAGATAAAGACAAGCCTTCAAGAATATGGTGCTAAGCATAGCAGGGCTGAGCTGCTTCCAATCCTCCCTTACCCAACACAGACGAAGTGTACACCTCTGTATGCTGCAGCCCCCCCAAACCTACCGTTTCAGAAATATATAATAAGGGGGTGAAAAGAAGGAGCCCGACAACTGTAGGATTTAAATGGGTTTAGGAACCAAACGAGAAGGCTTTCTCAGAACCGCGCTGATTGACACGATGCTCTCCATACCCACCTCGGAGGGCAGGCACTTTCTTTGCTCAAGAAACGTATGGCGTGGCAGTGCTTCAGTACATGGTGCTGGTTCTATGCAATCATGCTACAAGCTGAGTCGTGGGTTACTGCTCTGGATGTAAGCCCGAGAACCTAAGCCCTGCATGGTTCTTGCCGCTTGTTGTGGGTATGTAGGGACAGCAAACTGCTGCCACATGTGCGTAACTGGGCTGCTAGAGATCCCCAGACCTCAGCTCCAGGCCCAAAATCCCTAGACACCACCTAAGTACCGATTTGGGGAATACTTACCCAAACCATGATAAGGATTCCGAATATAGAAGCCCTATTGTCTACTATGTTCGGCACCTAGGAACCCTTAAAGAAAAGGAACCCTAAACACTTAGGCAACCCAAGCCCTCCGTCCTACTGTGCTTAGGAAGACCCTGTGGGTGGGGAAATCCTTAGGCACCCACCCAAAGCTTCGCTGGATGCTCGGAGGTGACAGGGACGTCGGCCTGTCACGGCTTTCTCTTTAGGTACTGATTTGGGCTCGGTGGGCTTGATTCTTTTAGGGTTCGGAGGCCAAGGTTTGTCTGTCTGGCTCTTAGTAGGGAAGGGGAACTACTACTGGGCATTATATAGGGACTGACTATAGGGATCCATTCCCCAATTCCCTGCTAAGCACCAAGTTTTTTCAAGGTTTCGGAGGTCAGCATCCGGAGGTCAGGGTTCTCTGGCGCCTCGCCTTTGGGTCTGGAGACTTCTGTAGTGTCCAGGGCTTCTCGCTGGCTTCCTGGGATCCTTCAATAATTTAAGGTATGATGCTTAATTAAGAAATATTGGAAAGTCTGAGATGTTCTCGGATGCCACGACAAGCAGTCGTGCTGGTATTTCAAAGGTAAGCATCGCAAAGTCTCCCAGGACAACCCCGCTTTGGCCCTTATAGGCTTGTGGGAACCCTATAAACCCTGAATAGACTCGTACAGCAGCTGATATAGTGATGCATGCGTATGGTTGCAAAGCGCCCAGCCTGGCTGTTCACCCTTTCTCAGTTACTACACAAACACTTGATGATCATTAGGGGTTAAAGGGTTTTTTGTGTTGCAGATCTTGCAAGCATGCGAAGAAAACTGCAACCGGAGGCGTTCCATGGATTCTATATAGTATGCCGCGATCGAGAAAACAGGGTAGCTCTGAAATTAGCCCTTAGAATTCTTAGATCCTGGACACCTTACACAGACCCTGATGATCCCCTAATCATTGGTTGATACGCCTCCGCGGTATGGTTCGTGGCCATGCCATAGTAGGCCTCATCCTTCGTGTGCTTGACCTGCTTGAAGGCACAACCTTACCTGCTTTCTCTCTCAACAAGACCCAAACTCCAAACTCAAGCCCCCAACGTAGGGGTTGGGACAACTAATTACCAATAAATGCTCCTTATTACAATAGCTGAACATGTACCCCAAAACCCTGTTCTAGTTAAAATTTAGCTAGAACAGGGTTTTGGGGAGTTAAATCCGCAAACCCTGTACCCCTGAAGCCCTTGAAACCGTAAACCCCAAAACCGCTCAAGCCAATGCCCCAAACCCTAAACCCATCCTCAGACATCCTGGACCCGCACAAACAAGAATGCACCCAAACTGTTCGGCTGTGCATTGAAGGCTCAGGGCTTTTTTCGGGTTTAGCTTTGTTCCGCTCTCTGTGCCAGCAGTCTGGATGAGCTCATCTTTGAACCGCAAACCCTAAACCCCTTATTGAACCGTAAACCGAAACCCCAAGCCCTTAACCCCAAACTCGAAACCCTGAACCCAAAACCCTTAACCCTACCTGTAGTCTCCATTGTAGTTCTGTAACCAAGATCTCTATTATAGGATCGTAACCACAAAACTGGTTAACCAAATGAAGGAACTACAAAGCCTTTGTAGGCTGTTAGGGTCCCTAAGCTCTTAAATTATTGATGGGGGCGCTCTTGGGGGGGCCTGATCAAACACTCCTTTAAGGAGACTTTGGGTAAACCCTTATCTGAGGCGCCGGCATTGTTCACGCTGTGCAAGGAGAGAACCTGAGGCTCGGCTGCTCCATACTTTGCCCTAAAGCTCCATGTACCCTTTAAGGGCCTCCTTTAAGGGATACCATGCGGGGTAAGATTCGGCTTCCTGTAAGGGATCGTTTAAGGGATCTATAAGGGCTCCTTTAAAGGCACCGCTCCTGTAAAGGCTACTTCTTGGGGAGTATTATATAGGGTTCCTTCGAGGGGCTTCCGGTTCGGAATTTAGTTCGCTACCGAGATCTCTCCGCATCTACATCTTCATGGCCCAAAACCTATAAAAGGCCATTATTCGGGTTTAGGGTCTAGGGACCCTAAACCCTAAACCCTATAGTTATTCTACATACCGCTGGGGTCCAGGATACAGCTTCGGTGATGAGTGTCAGAGGGCTGAACACTCATCAAAGGGTGAATATAGAGGGCTTGATATTCACAGCGACAGATGTTCTGGATAGGGGCCAATCGGGCTTCATGATGATGAAACATTATTCTGACAAGCCCTAAACCCGAAACTCTAAACAGTAAGACCACGAAGAGGAGACAGGCAGGAAGAACCCGAAACGTAAGCGCAAGCCTGTTCAGAAGCTGCAAGAGACTCTGATACCTGAAGAGTTGTTGATGAATGGTCTTTCGGGCCAAGTTTGAAGTTGTGTCCCGGTTAACATGGGTAGTTCTCGAAATTAGGGTCCCTTTTTAGAATCCCCAGACTAATACGGCACCCTTATACAAAGCACCCCTAACAGGGATCCCAATTTAGAGAACTACCCATATCCTGAGGGTGCATGTGCCCGCATAGTATATACGCGGGCCTTAAAGTACTCCCTATATAGGTACATTGGAGTATATTACTATTTGGGTAGTTGACAAAATTAGGGTGGGTAACCTACATATGGAGTACCGGTTCATTTTCGGGACCAAAAAACCGACTATGATTTTGACAACCACCCGTTTGGGTTTGGGGAAGGCTGAGGCCCACTTGAGATCTGCAAGTGTTGCCCTAAATTCAGTAAGGAATATACCTTAGCCTTAAGCTGTCGAAGGATCCTTAGTATCATTCAAGGTATACCCGGATCCTATAAAGCCTTGCTCTTGGGGGTTACCGAGTAAGATTTCATTCTATAAGTCCTAGCAATAGATCGGTTATTTGGGATCCAGGTAAGTCCACAAACTCACAGGCATGCACAAAGGCAAGGTGTACCTGTCGCTGGAAAAAACCTACGATTATGAGGTTCCTTAATCATTATGGCTTCTACCACTAGTTCCTTCAAAAGATAAGTTGTTTGGGCCAAAGGAATGCTTTGAGCTGCAGGCTCTGGCAACGGCACAGTGTTTTGCATGGAAAGTGCACAGATAATGTCGTCGTGCGACGCGCTGCACCTTGCGCAGCACTCCCTGGTTGCTCTAGGACCTGTTTGAAAAAATAAGTACTGCTTTGAGCGAAACCTGTAATGGGCAACGAAGCTTCAAGCCAGGCAACATTGCCATCAACACAGCTGTCTGCCTCTATCGCTTCGGTGTCTAGCCCCGTGTAAGGTCCGCGCGATTTCGTGGGTTTCTGTCGAGCCCTAAACCCTAAACCCCTCTAAGTCCCCGGCGATTTCATGGGTTTCTGTCGAGCTGTTGTTTTGTGGCATGGGCGCTCCATGCACAAGCTCTGGGCTCGAAAAAGGACGCTGCGGGCTCTGCAGGGTCTGCAGGGCTTGGGAGCTGTTTGATTGATGGGTTACTACTACATTACTATTGCTATTGCCTGATTTCTATTATTGTGACTATTGTTTTACATATCGTTCGATACATTATTTCGATTATATGTTGTTACTATGTCTTTTCCAATTATTTCTGTTTTTTTACAAACCCATAAAAGGCCATTATTCTACACACTTTTGGGGTTCAGGTAAGCACCTGGAGCTGCGCAGACGCTGCAAAAGGCTTGGAACTCTCGCCCTAAGGCTCTAAGGACTCAGATGTTCAGGCTTTTGGGACTGAAGACCATAGTATATAAGGCTTTTGGGCCTGAATACCATAGTATTATACGGCTGTTGGGCCATAATACTGAGCCTTAGGGTCATGCAAGTCAGACCCGTCAGCTTTCTCATGATGTCCTCCTACTGAACAACGTGTAGGTCCGAGATCCTTCTGTCGATGGCCTTGCGTTGGCCGCCGCACATGGGCTGCTTGAAAGCTGATTGCTGCAGAGATTTCGGCGTGCAGGGTTTTAGGGTTTGACGAGAGGTTCAGTGTTTGGGTAAACCCTAAACCCTAAACCCTAAACACTTCGAGGATGTGGAGCCTCAGGAAGTGTTGTTACAAGTGCTTGATGCGCT